CTTCCAACACCCTATCGTCAGCGTCCATTAGAGCGCCCTCGGGGAAAGCATCTCCGCGGCACCTTTGGGGCTGTTCTTTCCCGGATGGCGGGAAATGGAGTCTTCTCCTCCAAAGTGACGAACTCGTCATGGGGATCTTATGGCTATCTTTGGATTGTAACTTTTTGGGAAACAGTTGGATTGCCGATTGGACCCACAAAAAGTTACTCACTTTTTGTAGAGGGTCAACAGCATCCAAGGGACGAGAACCCGTATTTTGGTGGCACCAAACGTTTCGTGTTCTCGACAGGCTGTCCAAAAAATTCCCAGGGCACCGCTGGCTATGGATATGAGAGCTAAGGAGTTAGGGGCCATATGTCAGCATTTCTGATAAGATTTGGGAGGTACAGACCCACCCCCCCCCCCACCCAACCCCCCTCCCAAAAATCAAGGCAAATTAAACACAAAGACAATCAAATACACACCTCCTCCCCCCAAATCCCAAGCAAAACAAAGAAACAGCAAACAACCAAAGCAAAGCAACCAATCAACCAACCTGCCAGCCAGCCAAATGCCAAGCAACACATCGAGCTTGGAGCCTCGGAGTTGGCTAGGCCCTTCCTGAGCAACGCCCCATGCTGCAGCGCTACTGGGTGGCCGGAAGCCCAAGACGAAAGGGTTTTCGGGAGGCTCGTCCTTTTGGTTGGACCCCTCTAGAAGGTTTTGGTTCCTTGTCTTTTGGTTGGATTTTTCAAAACCTTTGGGTAGTTTGTGGTCTTTCAAAAGTTTCAAAACCTTTGGGTTGTTTGTTCCTCTGTTTAAACAAAGGTTGTTGACTTCGATGCTCTTGGCACGTGATTCGGGTTTGTTCTTGGTCCTGTTTTGGTGTTTCTGGCATTCGGTTGATTTTTGTTCTGGCAAGAGGAGGCTGCAAAACACTAGGGTTGCTTGCCTGAGCCGTTAGATTCACATGTGAATTAGGCCAAATTGGCCCACCAGCGTCCAACTGCTGAAACCCACTCTTACCCTTGAAATGTTTACCCCGGAATTGTTCAGGAAGTAAAATGAACCCCATCCGTGAACTCTGGTAAATGTTGCTTCTCATCCAGGTTTCTTGGCGGAGCAAAGTGTCTCCTTGTAGGCCGAAAGGAAAGTCTGAACCCTCGCAATTCCCTTAAACTGGATGCTGCACCAAGATTAAGGGGTGAGTTATCTTTTTTACGGGTAGTTTGAGGGTCCCGAAGGAACGCTTGCACATGTAGCATCGGTTCCCTTGGCATGCCCAGAGCAGCCTGAAGGCTTGTTTTTTGTTGGATTTGTGTTTCTCGTATGTTTTTAGCGATGTAGTGCTTGGGCGTCAGCTTAACCCACTAAAAGTGGTCGTGGGGTCTCCGTTTAAGCCGCTAGAAGGTAGTGAAGTGCTTAGCAGGAAAGAACCGGAAAACCGCCAGCGGAGCCAAGTTCTGTACCTCGTGGCCCGTTTCGAAGGCTTCGGCATCCTCAGTGGGCCAAAGCTGACCTGATCTTTGGGTACACTACAGTGGAGGGTTGCGAAATCCAAAAATCGCACCACCTAAGAAACCATGGAAGGAGGCGATTCCCCAATAAATACCAACAAATTATCATTTCATCATGGTTTTCAAGAGGTGCAGGATTTTGTCCATCCACAGTGTGTTTCATCAAGGTCCCAAAAACGTCAACCAAAGACAACCATTTCCAGATCCCCTTCTTTGGGTGAATGAGGCAAGCACAAAATCAGACCCGCAAAAACTCGAACGAATTTCTCAGGGTGCAAAAAAAAACTCTTCTCGTGCCCGAATGTTGGACACGGTTTAACGGCAGCAGCACGTATTGTGTAAAGTGTTTCTCCTAATTCAGGATCCCGTGACTGTTTCGGGGTTGCGACAAATTCCCCCCCCCCCCCCCGCCCAAACCAAAACAAAAAAATCCCCAAAAAGAAATGCCGGAGAAAAATCCAGACCAAAAACAACTAGCTAAAGAAGTTTGGCAAACAAATCCGGGCAAACATCAGGAATTCCTTTTTGAAATGGTTCCCAAACCACCAAATAAAAAAAAAAAAAAAAAAAAAAAAAAACTTCTTTACACAACAAGTAAGGGCAAACATTCGCAACAAAGGGGGTTGACCACAAAAGGCCCTGATCCTCTTTATTGAGACCGTTTTGGGGTCCTCTTTAGTGTCCATCTATGTTGGGGGTTGCTGGAAAAACGGGCCTTGGCAATACTGAAGTAGAACTGGCAATACTAGAGCCAGGACTGGCAATCTGAGAGTCAGCCTTGGAAATACTGAAGTAGAATTGTCAATGCTAGAATAAGTACTGGGAATCTGAGAGTCAGCCTTGGAAATACTGAAGTAGAATTGTCAATGCTAGAATAAGTACTGGGAATCTGAGAGTCAGCCTTGGCAATACTAAAGTGGAATTGGCAATGCTAGAGCAAGTACTTGGAATCTGAAATACCAAAATAAGTACTGGAAATCAGACCCCCAGGATTTCCCCTAAGGAGGGGGGGGGAAGGGGGGGTGTCACATTCAAGCAGGTCCAACATGAAACCCACCGGACCAGAAATAATATTCCCAGAAACGTCTCAAGGTCCCAAAGGTTGACCCAACCAATGTCCAGGTCCCATTCATCCTTTGGTCAAGGGAGTCAAAGAAAAGCAGACCCGAGCAAAAGAAAAACATGAAGGAACAAAACAGAAAACGCCTGTGAACCCCCTGAAAGCCAATCCCGAGAAAAGTGAAAACGCTCGGAAGAAATTTCTCAGGTGCGGGGTGGGCTGGCAGCACTGTCAGTGCCTGGGATGCATCGACTACCGCCGGGTGGCGAAACCGCCAGGCGCGGACGTCTAAAGAACATGCGGGACGAGGAAGGGGCTCTCGGTGTCTTTGCTCGCGCTCCCTGTGTTCATCAGGATACATGTTGCCCATGTGAAACATGACCTTTTTCCACCATGGTGGTGTCTTGTAGATGGTGGTGCCCATGTGACTTGTTCCACCGAAATAAAGGGACGCCACCATCTACAAGTTGCAATGTTCAGGTGTAGAATGCATCATGATCCCTGTTCATGGACCTTGGAACTTTTTGGTTTGGACCACTTGAGTGGTAAATAGGTCGTTCATGGTTTGCTTGTGGCCACTAAGTTTGAGAGGCAGCTTTTGAAAGGCTTTCACTTGCTGAAATGAATATTGTTCATTTTCCCCTGGTTCTAAAGTCGGAATCGATTCACTGGACGTATATGTGTTCTCTCGTTTGTTTGGGGCTGGAAGAAGGCCAGCGAAGGAATGCCAAGGGTTTGGGGGGGCTGGATGGTTTGTGGGGCTGGGACAAACAAAAATCATCCGGCGGAGAATTCTGGATGCATTCAACTCTTCCTAGGGGACGTGTAGCTCGTTCTTTTTTAGGGGGTTCCGGCTTGCACTACTGGCGTGTGCTATTTGGGTTTGTCTTTTTTGAGGGTACCCTTTTCGGGGGGTGGCTTGGGAAGCCAACAGGAGAACCGACGCCAAGTTTCTGCCGATTCCTGGACAAGTTTCCATTGATCACCCCAAACCATACTCCTCATATCACCCCCAAAACCATATCACCATTCCACATCAGCCAGAAACCCCTTCCAAACCATACCACCCTTGAACCCTAGTTGGGACGAAATGCGGATCCCCTTTCCTTGACAGTTGTTGTTAGTTGCTTTCGTGGGGGGTTAACGCCACCATTTTGGTGGTTTTGACTTTTCGCAGGGGATCACAAAATGGACCGCCCAGGTTTAAAGCTTCCAATCAAAGAATTGTTTGGAGTCTGAAGATTGTTTCCCCGGGCGCCATCTTGCAGAGTCTCCGTTAGCGAAACCGCCTTCGCCAGCTCACCGGACGCTGCGGCCAAAGGAGCAGGCGCAGGCGCAACGGGGGTAGGGTGGGATGGGCCGTAGGGTTGTCAGGGTTGGGCGAAAAGTTTGCCGACGAACTGCCAGCCTTCGATTCGGTCCCCTAAGCGAGTTGAAGGGAAAGCAAAAGGAGGTTGCTGAACAGCTCTTTAGAGAAGCTCTGACAGGGAGACCAAAGCGCGCACGCTCAAATGCATTCCTTTCCATATATGTGCCATGGTCAAACCTCCCTTTTAAACTTGAGGTTGGGAGGGAGGGTCATCAGCACGGTCAGGCAATTATTGGAGGGCCATGTAGGGCGGCCCACACAAGGAGTTTGGACAGTTCCACGTACGGATTTGTTTCAGTGTTCTTGTTGGCATCGGTTTTGTGTGGATCCCGATGAGACAAGTGCAAAGTTCCCGCCTCGGCGTTTGGTATGCTCACCTTTCAGGGGAAACCATTGGTATGGCTATTGGTTTAATTGGGGAACCATCTAAGTGGTTGGTGGACATGAATCCCCGCCAATGACGCCCAGGCTCCCCCATGAAATTCACTCCGAAATGACTGGGGAGGGAGTTTGACCCTCTGTGGTTGCCATGGTTAGAACACCACCTTTTCAACCCCGCAGCCTTTTGTAAGCGCAGCAAGGAAAATCCGGTGTGCTGGAGGGGTCAACGCACGAAATTGTCACAGCCAAGCGTGCCCCGGAGTTTGCCTTTGTGCACATGTAAGTACCAAGTGGACGGTCGGGTCAACCGCCTGCCCACCACGCAGCTGGACCAGCTGCTGATCTTCAGAAAATGCTTCATGCCAGCAAGCTTCAACTGGGTTCGCCAAGGGGTCTTCTTTGCAGTGCTTCTCTAATGGGGCTTATGGACAACAGATCCATTGTGAACAGCCTGGTGAAAAGATCCTTCCAACTTTACGAAAGGAAACAGGGTGTTGTTTAGCAGGTTCACATGTTTGGGAAACCTATGGAATCGAAATGCCAAACCTGCTTTTGGAGCCGTGAAGAGCCCAGTGATGTTTCAAATCGAGTTGAAGTTGGACTTCTTTTCGGAAGGTCTCGGGCTTGATCAAGTGTTTTGCCTTCTCTCCAGCTGCCGGTTTGCTTAAGCGTACGAAGAACGGGCAGAAGCGCCATGTACTGCTGTTGCGCTGCCGAGGCCGCATCGAAGCGAGCGTTTTGGACGTCCCGAGAGGTCATAATGCTGACCCCGTTTAATAAACCTCAGTCTATCAATTGGGGGGGCGCTCCCCTTCAAAAGTGATGATTCCCCACTGCACCCATGGTCTATGTACACGCGATGGGCAAAGCTGAGGCATTGGGTCGACCAGTTTGATACCAGGTTTGATTGTGACTCATATGTGTTTGCCTCAACGATGGAGGTTCCTTTCCATAATAAGACCCTAGGCCTTTGTCAATTATTCCAACATGGGCCGAATTTTGGTGACATTCCATCGGCAATTTCAATAGGTTTTGACTTGGGTGTGTCTTATTTTTTGGGGTCGGACCCCCAAAATGGTGGGTGAACCCCAAAATGGTGGTGTTCCTTTGTTTTCCTTTCACACCAAAACAAGTATCTTAAGCATGGTTCTTGCAACCATAAGTTATGGAATTGGTGGAATTGCAACTATTTTTTATATGTAGTTCTTTCGGGTGCCAGGAGGTGACCATGGGAGCCCGCCGTGTTATGGGATAGTTATTTCGGGTACCAGGTACTACCTGGTACCTTCCATTTGCTGAAATGAAGATTTGTCATTCCGTTGGAATCGATTTCACCACTGTACATATATGTCTTCTCTCTTTTGTTTGAGGTGGCGAAAAATCTGAAATGTCAGAAGTCCAAGGGCAAGGAAGGTCTTGGGGCTGGATTCGTGAGACGAACCAGCAATCAGAAGAAGTCGGAATTCTTCATTGACATGTTGGACCGGTGAGTCTAAGAAAATCAGCATGGCCTGCATTCTTTGTTTCCTGTCCTTTGGTTTTGCTGGGGGCGCAGCGATGTCTGCCATTCCGACCGTAGTCTTGGTGACTCCCACTTCCATGCTTTCTCAATTCGACCAGCATAACCGCATGCGACGGGTAGCTCCTAAAACCCCGCGTTGTGGTGCACGCCAAACTGCTTGTTGTGGTGGACTGCTTTCTTGCTGGTAGCTCCTAACACGCGTCGCGCGCGACCAGCGACGCGCGACGCGCGACGCGCGACGCGCGACCAGCGACTCGGAGGTGGAGGAAGTCCAGGAGCTGCCCATCGCCGCTTCCGGGGCCGGGATTCTCGGGACCCTCGAAACCTCAGAGCCTTCGGGGGGCGGCCGGCCGAATCCTCCGGTTCAACTTGGGCGGGTTCTTGAGCTGGCAACCGAGTTTGGGCTTCTTGTGCTCACTCAAAAAACGTACTTTTGGTCAGATGTTTGGGTGGGGGGGGTACTAAAAGTGTTTTTGCTGGGTTTTTTGGTGGGGTACCATGTAAACCACCAAAGGTTCAACGGTGATCTCTTTTAGAGGAATCTATCCTGCAGGCTGCTTGCTGGTTCCCGGCGAATCGTCCGGTTCAACTTAGGCTTTTGAAGATGAAGAAATATTCTTGGTATTTTGGAAAGTTTGAGGTTTGAAGGGTCCCCAAGGTTGAGCCAACAATTTGTTTAGACGTGTCAAAAACGATCAAACAAACTATTCCCAGTGATTCCATTTGCCACTATAGGTAACTAAAAGGAACCACCGAAAGCCAAAGCCAAACTGCGGATCATACGAGTTTTTGGTGGGGGAAAGTGGACAAATTCATCTCCGAAGCCTGATGTCCACCATTTCGGGTCCCTCATTCACATTGCACCCCACATAGAACAACCCCCCAGAAGTCTGTGGTTTCCTCAGGGTTCCAACACCTTTAATCGGATCTTGGGACCCTAGGGTTTGGTTTTGGCGGAAGACCCATCTCGTCCATGGGTTTTGCTCCCACCGAACTCTCCTTCTTCGCGCCATCGGCGAAGATCGCGAGGTGCTCGAAAAGGACACCTTCAAGGAGCTGGTCGTCAAGCATATCTTGGGTGGCTCAACCAGCCATCCGGTTCAACTTAGCTGTTTAGATCTGTTTGGTTCAGTGGTAGTTTCCGGATTTAGCCCTCGAAAAGTGTTCGACTGAGGGCAGCCCATTTGATTGTCCCCTTCTGGTTTTACCTACAGGAAATGTGTGAACTCTCGACCTTTTTTCCCAAGGGCCTTCAGCAAAAAAAGAGAGACAAGAGGATAGTGTCCTTACTAAGCTGGGAGCCGCCCCTGAAAAGCGTACGGGCCTCCGCATTAATCCGAGCATGAATATGGAACGGGGATCTTGTTTCAGCTTGTCCTTTTGGAAAACTGCATCGAACCCGGCTATGCATGACCCCCTTGAAGATCCCTAATGTCGACCCCGGATTAATAAGCCCATCCTTTTAATAGGGAGATGCCCCCCCCCCAAAAGTGATGGTTCCCCGCTAAACCCAGCGACGCCGCCTTATTAATAAACTGGGGTTGATGAATCTGGGGTTGGTGTTTAGAGACGCCCTTAGGTGTCTTCAGCCAAAATCTAAAAACCGGCCCCGCCCGTACATTTGTCCATTGAGCCAATATGTACTACGCCAATTACGAATTTCCTGACCGCATTTTCTCGGGGGTACTTTCAGCACCTCCATTGTCCAACTGCTGCCCACCAAAAGCACAAAATCACTACGCCGCCTCACCCCCTGTCAGGATCAGGATCTTCCTTGGTTACCTTTTGAGTGCAAGGTCCGTTCGGCACCTAAGTATGGCAAGTAAGGAAACAAGAAACCCTCCAAGCTACTACGACTTGCCATGGTTTTATGGTTGGGTCAACCCTTCACCACGGGACCCGAAAGCAAGCCTAACCCCACCGGCGTAAACCACCCGCAAACCGACCCGAAACCAGACCCTAACCAAAGGTAAATGGAGACCCAAGAAAATCATAGAATCCATGGGAACTTGAATCACATGGTTGACTTGCTTGCAACATGTAGGACACTCTACCTGCACGAAGCCCAAAAACATGTTTCGGGGGCTCTTGGCGCCTTTTTGAAGCGCACAGTCTGCGAAAGCCCTTGGATGAGCGCCCGCTGTTTCAGCCAAAGTGGGGTTTATTCTGGGGCAGTGTTTGATCTTGGTTTCCTTTCGGGGGTTGTCATTCAAGCTTTCGCGGATTCAAGGGTTATCTTCTTAAAATGGTCTCCATTTTCTTGGTCTGGGGTCTCCATTTTCTGGGGTTGCCCTGTGTTTGTCATTTGGGTGCGGCTGAAACTCAAAGAGCCGGGGTGCACGCAGGTGTCGGTCTTCATCCAAGAAGCTGGTGCCACTTTTGGAGCCACGGCCATTTCTCGGGTGCACCTAGAAAAAGACACACCCACACAGAATCTGTGTTTTTCCAACATGGGTCTGTCCTTGCAAACCCGCGGGTGCCGGAAAAGGCAGGAGGAATGTGTGTTTAGTTGTCATTTGACAAAACCCTATCAAGACCTCCGTTGGCAAAACCCACGCCGCAGGAAGGGAAGAAGCCGGCCTCCGGTTGTGCGTTCGCCTGGGAGCCCGGATCGAATCGACCGAGCGGCGTTTTGGGGGTGCTTTGGGCTTTGGGCTGGGCGTGTCTTTGTGTGAGGGCTGGGCGTTCTTTAGATCTGTTGTGTTTCAAAGGAAGCGAATGGGAAACTAGGTTTTTTTAGGGGTTCCCGCAGTTTGCGACAATAGTGAGAAACAAAAGATTTAGACTCTTTTGGGCTAGTCCAATCAAGTGAGGCGCCCAACGCAACCAGTGTTCCATGTGTTGCTTCCCCAATTCCTGGGTTTGCTTCCGTGAAGTTGCAAAAGATTCGTGGCTCCTACACCCAGGGCTTCCCCTTGTGGTGATGTTGGCTTTGGACTTTTTCTCAGAGTCAAAGAAGTCAATGGAAACACTTGGCGTGGGGGGGGTCCCTCCTTCCCCAGAATTCGCTCCCTTTTTGGTTTTGTTTTGCTTTTTGGGGGGGGCCCTTTGTTTTCCACTAACCAGGCAACAAAAACATGCTGGGGTCCGAATAACTCCAGCCTAGCCTCTAGACATGGGGCGGGGGGACTTTGAAGTGATCGAAAAGGGCCTCGATCTTTGAGATGCGAAAAGGTTCCCGCGACCCTTGACTTGCGGAGTGACTTTGGACGAATGGCAGTACGAACTTGCTTGCAACCAAAGCGAATCGACCGGATCTGAGCTTTTGGTTTCCCTGAGTTGGTCCATTGTAGTCAGCAAACCAAAAGGTTGACCATTTATTTCTGGGTCCTTTGGGCAACTGAGAGTATGGAAACGTTGCTGCATTGCTACTTGAACAATGCCGGCACCTCAAAAAGGACCTATTTGAGACTGTTCGGATCTTTCCTATGGCCCCGAAGCTGGTGAAGTTCTTTCCTATGGCCCCGGGGTGGGGGGAAATCCAAGTAAGCCCCCCCCACCCTGGTGACATTCTAGCCGTCAAAGAGGGCATTGAAAGACTGCCTTCCTTTTGGGGCAGGTTTGCATTCCTGGACCCTCAAAACTACCAAAAAAAGTCACTCACCCACACCACAAGCTTGGGCGGCAAAAGCCCTTTCGGGTAGAGGGTTCAGGCCACATCCAGTCCCGGGTGGGCGGTTTGTTTCGGGGATTTTCCCTTAAAGTTGAAACCTCACCAGTTGGATGGCTTTTCTTGGTCAGAAACCATGTCTCCTTCCCTCTCGCACCGATCGCAAGGAAGTTGAAACCACCAGTTCGATGGTTTTGGTCTGAACCCAGGAATTCCCGTAAACTGCCCAAGGAATGGTTTCAATGTTTCAATCCGGGGGTCATTCCATTGCTCATTCCCTGCATCTCTCGCACCGGCAATCTAGGGAACCTAAGAAACCCATTGATGTTGACCCCATCTTAATCAACCCCAGGTTACTACCTGGAGTCTTCTTCTGACCCTTTAAAAATGGTTGGTCATTACCCAAAATATGGAAATGGGTTATGTTGACCCATTTTTAAAGGGTCAGAAAGAGACTCTAGGTAGGGGTCCCGCAAGTCATTTAGTTGCCCAGTGGTGCCTTTCTTTTTCTCCTTTTTTGCGGAACAGGGTTCCCAACTTAAGCTCCACCAACCAGAGAACAAGGAGGCCGATCCTTTTTGTTCCCTGGAAATTTTCTTTCCACTGGGCATCTGACATTTCCTCCCCGCATGTCTCTCAGCCGCGTTTTGAGTTCCGCCGGTGCCGTCGCTCCGCGGAAATATGCGCAGCCATCGGCGCATCGGATCGCAGTCGGTGGAGCTGAAGCTCAAGGAGCTGCGGGCCTCGCAGCTGGGGCTGGAGGTGGACATCACCGACCAGGACGGCGCCTCGCGGAGAAGAGGGGCTGGAGGAGAAGAGGGGCTCGTGGTTGGTAGAAGGCGGGGGGGGTCGGTGGGAAAGGGGGGGGTTGGGGTGGGGGACAGGTTGGGGTGGGTGGGGAGGTATTTGGGATGGGGAGATGCGTGGAGCGGAGGTGAGGGGTCGGAGAGAACCGGGGCTCGAGGCGATGATCTCAATACGCGGGGAAACGAATCGCGGCCTTGTTGGAGAAGAGAAAATCGGCACGAGGCACGGCGCGAGGGAGTTGTCCAATCTTTTTTTTGTTGCTGGGAACCTCGTTCTAGAAGGGCTTTGTCCCCCAGCTAGGTGCCCTTTTCACCTTTTTGGGGGTTGGGTTCCCCTACTAATAGTAGACTACAAAAAAACAATGGTGCCCTTATTCTATCCTCCCTACTGGAGGACCTGGCTAGTGTTGATGACGAGTAGCTGTACCCTCCCCATTCTCTTATTCTAAGCTCTCAACTCTGGAGGACCTCGCAAAGTCCATGGAGGGCCAAGCATTGAGGTCACCCTGGGGGTTCCCTGGGGGCCAAGCGGGGGGGGGGGGCAACTGGGTGATTTTGCTGGGGGTCTTAGATTTTGGGCTGGAAATTTTGACGGGCATCCGAATCCGTTTCGAAAAGCAGCTCGCGTAGCAAGGTGAGCTTGATTTTCACCTGTTGGCTTTGAACGTCATCCCGGGTCCCAAGGGGTGCCTGCAAGAGGAGTTTGATCTACCAGGGCCTTGCCTAGCATGGACAAACATGTTCTTTTCGGTTTGGACGCCTTTTTGTGATACTCAAATTTATAGATCACCTATGAAGCTGTTTCGGGGCTCACCTTTTTTCGAGACAACACCCAGATATCAGCTAAGACACGTCACCAGCCAGCTTTCTTGCAGCTTCATCATTTGTGGTGGTTAAGTACTATGTTATGGGTATGGATCCACATCCTTGTACAAAAACGTAATCCACATCTGTAAACAAGGTTGGTGCCCAAATTCTTTACAAGGATGCGCACTGTGGAAGCTGGATCTGAGCACTGAAACAAAAAAACAAGAAGAAGCTGTGGCTCAAAACCCGGGTGCCAAAATGGGTTGCCCTGGTAAGTGGAAACATGAACCAAGACCTGCGGCTTGCCCCTCCTGTTTAATTTTGAGAACCACACCCATTTGTTTGGTCTGAGGAATGGTGATCAGCAGCATCTCCGACGGCTTCGTGAACAAGTTTAACGAGAGCTTCCCCGATCAGGCCCATCCAGAGTTGGCACGGATTTTTTTTGCCATGAGAAGCCCCCAAGCGCCCACGGTCTAAGAGGCGAGGCGATGAAAGCCACAAGACACCTGGAACAAGGCGCCAACTGTCTGACTGTGGAGGCTTGAAATCGAGTCATCCAGTTGCTTCTCGCGCCACGGTTCATGAAACCATGGGAAGGAAACCATCACGTTTGTTCCGGTATTTTCGTTGGGGAATGTATCATTCCGTTGGGATTCTGATTTTGGGGAATCGTATCATTCCGTTGGGATTCTGAACGATGTTGCGAAATGGATTTCGTCCATCTACAAGAAGCAGTTTTCTTCAAGTGCTGGTCGTAGTCGGCTTGAGTTTTTGGATCTGGAGAAGTGCTGTGTTCATCCCCAAGCCTGTCTAGAATGGCTTCTGGATCTTCCCTGTCTTCATCGTTTTAGTAAAGGACCATGCAGTGAAGCTGCAACATGTTAATAGCCGCAACGGCCAAGACGTGGGAAACATGAAACCTCAGAAGCTTCCCGAGCAAGCCTAATTTGAGGACCCTCTTCCGGAGTTGTCGACCCAACCCCCCAGCATGCATTTCTAGTCTCACCTTCCAAAGGAGCTGTTCCGGTGGCAACATTCACTAGCTTCCATTTGTTTAAGGCCCCTGGAAACAACAAGATAATATATCCAGTATTCATAGATTCCCTTTAGATAAGATCCTTTGCCGGCATGGGGGTTGACGGGATTCCGTCAGATTTCGATCGCAAAAGGTGACCAACCCCCGACATTCAGTGCCCTCACACCTCTTGAGTACCACTTTTCCACGGGTCACCTAAGCACGTTGCAGGATCAAAGTTAGTGGGCCCTTGCCAATGCGCACCATTTCGCAGCGTCTACTAGGTCCCCCAGCTAGGTGCCCTTTCTCTCCCCTTTTTTGGTTGGGAAGCTTCCCCTACTAAAATAGGCTACAGAAAAAAAGTTGGTACCCTTACTCTAACCTCTCAAGTCTGGAGGACCTAGTTCTAGGATACGCCACACAGACGACAAAAATTCCGAGGCCTTGGAGAAATATGCGCCTTGTCCGCAATGGAAACCCGGGGTGCGGAGGTCTCCCTGCAAACCCATAGGCCAGCTTTTCCTTCCAGACACGGCGGGGGGGGCTTCGGGCGCTTCGGGGCTGTTTCATCCCAAAGCGGCACTTGAAACGTGCATTTCTTGATCTACCCCATTCCCTCAGAAATGTTTGAACCAAAAATAAAGGTCGAAGTCTGAAATGGAGGTAGAACAGTCTGACATGTTTGAACAAGAAGGAAGGTAGAAATGGTTTCAATGTTCCCTCGTGTTGACGGTCGAAGTCTATCACTGGACGCTTTTTATCCAGGGGACTCAAGCAAGTGGAGGTGATTCTGGCCGCCGTTCGGAGTCGTTTTTGCGGTCCAAGCGGTTGCAGTACCCTCGGGTGCCGCACCCTGAAAACACTCACCTGGGTTTGGTGAAGTTTGACACCCAATAATATGTTTGGGGTGTCAATTTAAAGAAATAAAGTTTGGGGGAAATATCGGCGCCCGACGCATTTGTGAACATCAGCGCTTGCTTGGCGCTTGCGTGACTGGCTGATGTTTCTGAGAGGAAACACCTGCTTTGCTGTTGGGGATTCCCAAATAATTCACTTCCCGAGTTCCTGCACTTTAGACTTTTTGGGAAGACCCTTCTGGTGGTAGATAAACAGTTCAGACTCTTTTTGGCCACCACCGCCAGAGGTGTGAGAACTGCGAGTGCGTGAGAACGCGAGTCCGATTCTTTGAGTTCTGACTCCCGTGTTTTCCCATTGGTTTGTTCAGGGAACACCTTTTGGAAGAAAAACACCATATTAACTCCCCCCCGTCATCACCGGCCCCGTTGTCACCAGTCCCGAGTTGTCCATTTCATTTGGTTTCCCCCGTTTCCGTCTTCCTGGAGTCTCCATCACCCTTCCAAAATGGGGGTGTCACTCCTCAACATACTTCGGGGCCACAACCCCATGTTGACAGGATCATTTTTTGACTCCATCACCCTTCCAAAATGGGGTCGCTACTCAAAATGAATGCATCATGGTTGTTGGGTTATCATTTTACATTTTGCTTAGTGTGGTTGGTGGTTGAAATCCCACCACATACCTGCCAAGAATTCGAAAATGGTTGCTCCCCTTCCAACGTCACTACAAATGAAAATGGCTCCAAAAATTTTGGGTCACGACTCAAATGGGTCCCCAAACGGCTCCAAAAAGCTCCCATTCCGGGACCCCTTTTTAGATGGCTCACTTCCTGGGTTCATGAACTTAAAACTTTTTGGGAAGACCATTTTAGTGGTAAATAAAAGTTTGGGTACTTTTTTTGGGCCATCCACTCAGCCAGTGAGTCGGTCGGTCCTCGAGAGGACCAGATCATGTCGGCCAACGGGGTGCGCAGCTCCATCGGCGAGGTGCACAAGGCCCTCATGGCCGCCGTGCAGGACGGCGAGGCGCGGAACCTCGCGCGGAACGTGGCGCGGAACGGGGCGCGCGCGCGTTCGCTTCGCTGCGCTGCGGGAGGAGCTTGGGAGGTGTTTTGCGCCTGGAACGTGGCGCTTCTTGAGCCGTTTTTTCAGCTTCTGGGGGGGTTTTGGTGGGTTTGTTGGAGGTTGTTTGTTGCTTTTTAGAGTTGCGTTTGGTTGGTTTAGTAGTCGTTGACGTGTTTAAGCCACAAGGTGTCGACTTTTAGCAGGGGATCTGAGGGCAGCCCAGGTTGGACGGTTTTCGGGTCGGTCCAATGTACGTTGACGAACTTCCATTTGCCGAAGAATATGATTTTTCCCTGTTGGTTTTAAAGGAAGTCTATCGCTACTGGACTTTGTTTTGTTGCCAGGGGACTTAAGCAAATGCAGGATAAAACCGGTGGATTAATACAGTGGTGCTTGGAGGGGGGTCGATGTGCACCAGAGTTGCCGTAAAGATTGCGCCAACATCAAACATAGGTTTCCGGGCTTGGCGTATCATTTGCTCAAGAATATGTTTATTTTTCCCTGATGGTGTGAAGGGGAATTATCCGGTGGACGAATAAGCAAATGGAGGATCATCTTAGAACCAATCTGTGGGTTTCGGGCGCTCACTTTTGATTTGGGGCAGCCCCCCAATAAAAAAAATGGACACATCAGGTCCTGCAGCTCGAGCTGCGGCGGCCCAGCTCCTTTCAGGCGCGCCAGCGGGGGGGGCGGGGGGGGGGGGATTTGTTTTTCCAGGGTCCAAGAGCTGCGAAAAAGCGGATCAGGGCGTTCACCGTTTTGTTTGTGTTCACCGTTTCTTCCAGACCCCCTAGTTGAGACGGTGTGGGGGAATGAGGGGTTGGTTCCTGCTTCTGTGATACCAGCCCCCACTTCCTCTGGATTCAATGGAGAATTTGTCATTTGAAAGGCCTTCATTGGTATCGCAGGACCAAGAGAGGCTGTGTGTGTGTGTGTGCGTGCGTTTGTGTTCGAGGGGTGTTCTTTTTTAGAGGTTGGCTGAATCAATATGAGAACCCCCCAGTTGGGGTCCCCCGATTTTGACACAGGCATTTCCAGCTACAGATTCGGCTCATGGTTTTCTTTATTGCTGAAACCTGTTTTAGCATTGGCTGGTGTAACGGTATGTATTCAGGGGTGAAAGTGGATGGCTCAACTCACCTATTTGTTGGGTTGTTCAACATCAATCCACAAGATCCTTATGCCAGTTAGTAGGTTTGCTGGTAGTGGTGTCTATCTACGTATTACGGTTTACGCTTCCCACCCGGCATTGCGTCAAAACCCGGATAGCTCGGGTTGGGTCTTCCAACAAGCGGCTGCTGGGCACCGAACCTCGCTTCACGCCCCTTTTAAGGCGCTCCAAGCGATTCCTTATGGGCGAGTTGCTCCTCTGGTTTTTTCGGGAACCAAAACAGGGGGTGCCTTGGCCTCACAAAATGGGTGCCTTCGCCTGTGTAAATTCTTGATTCATGACTCTGGTAGTCCATAAATACCGGGATTTGATCATGACTCACATCTGGCGGAGACCCCGCAGCCACTCGCGATTTCTGAGGTAGAAGTGAAGAGGCCGGGCGAGCAGCTTGGAAGGCAAAAAAAGCTTGCTGCTTCATGACCAGAGACTCAGTTGTTCAGAGGCACCCTTTTTCTCATTTTTTGTTGGCCGCCCCGCTAAAAATGGTCTTCCCCAAAAAGGGTTCCTTTTTTTCCAGGGTCACCGAACAACTGAGGAGAGGGGGGGCTGAATCAAACACATGATTTTCGTCGGACCCTAATAGACGGGGGAATTGGACCTACCCATGCTATTTTTGGGGAGTAGCCAAAGGGAAATCAACAGATGGGTTTTGGTTGGATCGCAAAGCGGAGGTTTCCATTCCAGAAAAGGGGATGGGTAATCGTCTCACTTGCTCAGTTCCTGGACTTTCATCACTTTTTGGGCTTGGCCCGTTTTAGTGGTTCGGTTACCTTTTTGGCTAACCCACTCAGGAAGTGAGCAATGATGTTCCTGTTGATTAAGTTTGGTTTCATCAAAGTCGCTTTGCACGCGCCAGCGATCTGATGTGGAGTTCCTCTCGAACTCACCCAAATGGACGGGTCAGCAGACCAAACCCACCAGCGCGAGCTTGTGGTTTCCCGAGCACTTCATGGTTTTTGGGAAACCTTTTACATTTTGCTTGTTGTGGTTTAGTGGTTGAAATCCAAATCCACTCCCCACTTAGCCTTCCTGAAAACTTCCCCCAAACTTCCCCGAGCCTAGCATTCAGCTGGGGTGTCCGAAGGCCTTCCAGCTCCAAGTTCCAAGCCCTCAGCTTTTCGGTCCCGAAACCAGACAGGTCTCAACACGGAAGGCCGCTCTTTGGTGTTCGCAAAGAAAGGCTGCCTTCCAGTTGCTGAACTGAAGATCCATGAGTCAAGATCCAATCGTACCCCTGGTGAACATCCGATTCAATCCAACCACTGAAATAGGTTCTACAATGGGTGGTGAATTCACCTACCCCAAAATGGTACCATTGGTTTTGACCCACAGCCAACTGAAGATATGTGGCATGGTCCCTTGTGGGCTTTAAAGTTGGAATCGAGTTCACTACTGGAAATAGGTTCTCATGTTTGTCCGGGGGGGCGTGAGCAAATGGAAGCTAACAGGTAGCACTATGCTAGGAGAAGCTATCATGCAAAAGCTGGAGACATCCTGGTTACCTGCTGCTGTAACTGGAAGCACTTGGCTATTCGCAACACTATAGCAAGGCATGGCAGACATGCCGAGTCCACGTCAGGGAAGTGTCTAACTTTCCCAGTTGATAGGTCGCCTAAATGGGGGTTTATGACCAGCTTAGGATGATGTTGTTGCCCTGTAAATACGGATTCAACCATGGTTTCATTTGGTGGCTGCAACATGGATTTCATCCATCCACAGTATGACCCACTTGTGATTAACTGGTCATATGTTCAACCCAGTGGATCCATAGGTGACCAACTGCGCGAAGGACAATAGTTGGTTACCTACAAAAGTCGGCTGGCCCGGGATCCACTGGGAATCACTTGAGCACTGTGGATCTTCGTGGATCTAAGATTGGGCATGCAGCTCAACTACAAAAATTCTTCGGCGGGGATTGTCATCACGGACATTATGGCTGGAGGCCGGGCGTTTTCACTTGGAGGGGACCCCTAAGATGGCGGTTTTAATGTCGGTTCCCTTTCCGCCCTAAGTGTCCGATCGAAGGATTTTGGGGAATTCCTCAAGTACGTAGATTTGAATTGGGTTTGTCTCTCTTTTTTTGGATCCCCTGATTCCCTCTCAGCCATCTTCGGAACAGTGAAGTATAGTGAAGTGGTGCAATCCTACAATCCCTTCCCCCTATATTGATAAATCAACCATTTTTATACCAAACTTAACACCAGACATGTTTCCGTTTGCTTTTGATTTGAATTGACAAAAATCCAAAAAGTGACTCGAGCCATGTCACCCAGTGTTCCTACTGGGCAACGCCGAGTTTGACGTTGCGGACAGCAAAGGGAGACCCCAGTAGGAGGACCAGAGTTGAACTTGGAATTTCGTGGGCCCAAGGGCCACGTGTTTTGCGAGGGCGCTGTCCTTCTGGTTTCCCTTTAAAACCATCCTGAGAACAGGGCTCCTTAAAAGAAATACATGCTGCAACCATTTGAATCATGTTGTTTTTCCACCAAAATAAAATAAAACCGCCATGTACAAGTTGCAATGTTCAGGTGTAGAATGCATCCTGATGCCTGTGAGGATCCCGGCGCCCTCGAAAAAGACCGAAGACGGGCCCATGATAGTTTTGCCGGAAAAAACGGAAAAAAAACTTCGAGTAGGTCGGGGCATGGGGGGCGGGGCTGGTCGAGCGTTCTTCCATGGAAAGCGGTTAGAACTTTTCGGCGGGCTCAAAACAAAAGGAAGACGATTCGCTGCTGGGCCTCGAGCGTTTTGCCAACTTCAAAGTGGCTCGAAGGCCTTGGGCCTTGAGCGGAGGTGTCTCGTTGGTTTAGTGGGGGGGGGGGGGTTGCCATGGAACCCATGCATGTTGAGTCGCCGCTTGTAGCAGACCAGAAAACGGAGCGACCAGACGAGTGGGGGGGGGGGGGGGGGATGATTGAGAAAGAGCCATGCCAGGCTTTGACTCGTAGCGTCAGGTTTTGCGTCCGGGGATACGAACGAAGCAATGTGAGTGCCATCCTAGGCCCAAAAGAAGTACCCATAAAACAATGGGAATTCAGCAACCGCAATTTTGGGGTGACAACCACATGTTTGTTCCACATGACTGCTTGAGGGTATCGAAAGTGCACGAAACACATGGGTCCGCTTGGTGTCTATCCAAAAGGCGCCAATTTGGACGCAAAAGGCGGGAACTGCTGGCCGCAGGTTTGCTTTCCAAATGGAACAACGATCATCCAGACAATACCGTGAGAGCAGGCGGGGATTCGGGGATTTGAATGGGGTTGAGTCCTTTTCCATGCTTTTAAAGAGCGTGGTTCTTTTCTCAAGTGGAAAGAAGGGATCCCAGGAAAGGAATGAGAATTGAATCCCTTCTCCCTAATGCAAGCCGTACCCCTAAAGCTACAAATCCGGGAATACTACTTTGAGAATAGCCAATACTAAACCAATTCTAGAGTAGGTATTTTCCTGCCCGTGCCCAAATCCAGTCCTATTAGGGGGACGACCCGGGAGTACATTTCCTTACTACGGCTGTACTACAAAGTTGCAACTTTCGAGCCGGAGCTCCGGGAGTACGTTTTCTGCACTACGGCTGTACTACAAAGTTGCGAAATTCGAGCACGTTTTCTTACTACGGATGCGCTACAAAGTTGCGACTTTCGAGCCGGAGCTCCGGGAGTACGTTTGCGTTACTACGGCTGTACTACAAAGTTGCGACTTTCGAGTACGTTTTCTTTACTACGGCTGCGCTACAAAGTTGCGACTTTCGAGCACGTTTTCTTTACTACGGCTGTACTACAAAGTTGCGACTTTCAAGCCGGAGCTCCAGAAGGCAGTAAGTTTTCTTTACTACGGCTGCGCTACAAAGCTGCGACTTTCGAGCCGGAACTCCGGGAGTACGTTTCCTTTTCCACGGCTGTACTACAAAGCTGCGACCTTCGAGCCAGAGTTTCGGGAGCACGGTTGCCTGAAAACGAACCGGGGAGCCCCTAATGCTAAACCGGCTTTTCCCCAGTATAGGGAGGTGGGGGGGCGGTTTAGCATTTGGGGGGAAGGGATTACTTTTCGAGCGGTTTTTGTTGACCCCCAACCTGTTTTGGCCAAATCAAGAATCCTGTTAGGTCCCGTCAAGAGGAAACTGATCTTCCAGGTAGCCCCCCACGGCTTTTTCTGGGAGGCAGTGAAAAGCATGCGAGCGCAAGCTGCGAGCTGTGAATGGGTGTGTCTTTCTTCTCTTTTGTTTTTGTGGGGAGAATAAATGGAAAAATTGGGAAACGACAATTTCCACAACCCATTGTATGATTGGAAGCGCGAGTACGCGTGTGTCCAGAATTTGATGGGTGGACGATTCCCGTGAGTAAAAGGTGGCCGAATGCATTGATCTATCACCAAGAGCGCAATTATTAACAGTCTGCTCCTATGATCCCGGGGCTCGAAATTGTCCACATCCCCTAGATGTTTAGGCCCTTGTACTTATGGAAATCAAAAGCGCAGCCTTTTTGCAGCGGGCCCATGGCACTCATGGAAGCCAACAAAACAATTACCGGCCAAAAGGAGAAGCTCCTGTAGACTTGCCCCCAGTGAAACGAGGTTTCTGAGGGCCAACCTCCAGTGAAGAACCTTCCTAAAAAAATGAATCGCGGGGGTGTGAGTTCCGTTTCGAAATTTGGTGACTTTCTGGGTGTGGTCCATTTTGGTGGTAAACAAGAAGTTCAGACTCTTTCTGGGCAATCCACTCAGGAAGTGAGGAGAGGGTCCTTTTCGGGGGAACCCCCCTTTGGTTGCAAACCAAGAGAAAAGAAGACACCAACCATGTTGCGACCCCTCAAATTTTGTGGATAAACTCTATGTTTTGCTTGGATGGTTCCATAACATCGCCAACTTTCAATGTTACGAGCTTCTCTTTCGGGTGACGTTTTCAGTTTTCGAGTCCCCCTTCTTTTTAGACGTCTTCAACACAGAAACCGTGGCAGCCTTTCTAGTTGTGTTCCCATTCAGGGATCCTTCTTGCAAAATGCAGGGGAAACCTCTGGTTTCTAACCGGATGAGTGCTTCCAGTTACCACTTTTGCAGGTAACCGGCAGAAACCATGATGCAAAACCCAGAGGAAGCCACATCGATCGCTGCTTGAAGCAAAACCTTGGGGACCTCACCTATTTTTTGGGGGTGGCGGGTCAGGGGCTCGGTCGAACGCTCGAACTCGGTCGACCCGGAGGCGACCGCATTATTTCGTTGAACCGAAAGGAGCTGAAAGGCGCCGAGTCGGCCGAAGCCGAATCGGGGCTCGGGGAATCCTTCCCTCGCCTCGATCCCTTGCCCTAAGCATTGGCCCTCACCTCAGTTGTTCAGTGGCTCCCTTTTTCCCTTTTTGTTGGTGGCTGCCCCACTAAAATGGTCTTCCCAAAAAAAGGGTTCCCCTTTTTTTCCAGGGTCACTGAACAACTGAGTCACAGGCCAGCCCATTTTTGTTTGGTCCAAAGCCTTACGGAGGCAACGCACGGCCGAGCAGAGCCTTTTGCACGCCAAAGGCTGAGGGGTTCTGAGGACTCCCAACCAGAAATTGCCTTCGCCGCCTTACATGGGATCGGTCCCAGGAATTGGCGCGACCTCTCTCCCGTTCCTTTTTTGGTTCGGAGGGGCAACCCCCTACTAAAATAGACGAAACCGAAAAAAGTGGGTAGCAACTTATTCTAACCTCCAAATCTGGAGGACCTAGTTCTGACTCATTTGACCTTTGCCTTTTGAGTGGGTATCCAGTTGGCAAGCCAAGGAGCTGGCATTTTCGAGTTGGCATGCCTGACAAGCCTGGAACGGTGGAGCCCAGGCGTTTTGCCCTAGGCAAGTCGATCCATGGCCCTTTTGGTCCTTTTGGTCTTAACAGGGCGCTGGCGCTTCCGACTGTACCGGTGTAGAAATGGATCTGGGTAAATGAGGTAAATGGATCTGGCCAAATGGGTTGCCTTAGATGGATCTGGGTTTACAAGCCTCAAGTGCGGGTGGCGATTCACCGGTCGCGCCTTTCCTCAGCGCCAGGAAGAGACCTGGTCGAGGCGATCCGAACGGCAGAGGACACCCCCAACTCCCTGCAAGGCGTAGCTTATGTGGGCCCCCCCCTATTTTGACCAGAGCCCATTTCCTGTGGCAAGTGACCCGCTGGGTTTCCCCTGCAAAAGAAGGCTTTTATGGGTTGATCGATATTCCGTTCTGACCATTGGTAACTTTCCCCATGTAGGACATATCAAATCGTTTTAGTGGTTTTGCAACTAGTGGTCATCCCATGTACAGGACCTTTTGATCAAACCCCGTGTGATTGGCCTTCAGCACAAAGTGCGGTTACTTGTTTGGGCAATCCACTAGAAAAGTGAGACTTGTTGGATGCGTTACCCCGTGGCGCATCGAACCGTTTTCCTTTTGGTTCCCTAAACAGAGAAGAAAACGGTAGCTCACCCTAGCTGTTGCCTGCTCTCTGCTTCCTTGCGGGACATCACTGGGCGCCCTCTTCGGCGCTTGCCTTGCCACTTGTGACCCTCGCTCTGCGGCTCCACCCCAATTCTGGTGAAACCTGGTGCCATTGTCACGTTCCAGAGCGCCGAAGCCGCACGACCTGGCCTTGTTTCGACCCTTGCAAGGGGTTTGGTGGGCTTCCTCTCTGGCTCAGCCATCCATTCCAAGACTTCCTGGATTCAACCTTCCACCTTCCGTCAATCCACTGCTTCAGGTCCTTTTCTCTCTCACGCTGCAGCTGCCTTCGCTTTTTCGCATGCCACTGGCTGGCTCCAGCTGGCGCATGCTGCTCCGCCGTGAGGTGCTATCTGTCCTGCATGGGCCTGCTGCGTTTTCTTTGCCAAAGTTCAAGGTTGCTCTTGCTCTGCATCTGCATGCCTTTTCTCGAGAGAATCTTGTACCTTTTCTCTACAACATGCGCCTGCATGACAACCAGTTTTGTACGCAGAAAGAAGATCCCTGGAGCTCGGGCACGGTTTCTTTGCGCACTTCGTGCCTCAGACCCAGCGGCTATCTTGTTGCACGGCTGCAGGAGCCTTCCTGATCCGCGGGTCATTTGAGCCACGTGCTCAAATCCCGGGTAAGTGGAGGTTAAGAGACGATCCCAGCCAGAAATCGCTGCGGAGATCCGCCTTCTTAGTTCTTTACATGGTTCTGGGTCCACAATTCTTGTACCCAATAGAGGGGCCTTTTCTGAGTTGAGCGTGGCTCAAACCCAGGGTTGAAGCCAAAGGTTTTGATTCCACGGATTTGAAGGAGATGCAGCTCGGGATCCTGCGCTACCTCTGAGCATTCCCTTCGCCCCCATGGACCATGTACGGGTGAGTGGTCTGTTTTTTTTCAGGGTGCCCTTTCTGAGATTGGCGAATGAGACACAGGATAAACGACCAAAAGGAGAACTGCTATTGGGGTCCCCTATTTTGCCGGTTCCCCTTTGCTTGGGGTTGTTACTAGGGATGGTCATAATTGCGTCCCTGGTTGTGTCAAAATTAGAGAGGGTCCTAACTGTTGCATGTATAGAACTTGGTGGCTCCCAGCCATCCGGTTCCTTGCCCTTTTAGCTTTGTTGGTAGTGTTTAGTGGTAGTTTCCATTTAACCCACAATTAAAACTTTTAGAGGGGGATCCGAAAACGGGCAGCCCAGAGAAAGCGCCGCATGTCCAAGACCAAATGGGCCATACTGGATATGTTCACCGAGCGTGTGGGCTTTGAAGCCAGATGGTTTGTTTCACAATTCAAACTCAAACTGATGGCGTTGATCCCATCTTCCATTTGCTGAAATAAATAATTTTTATCCTGTTGGTTTTAAAGGGAATCTATCACTATGGATGTTTGAAGGAAAAGAAAACTGTTGGTTTTAAAGGGAATCTATCACTACTGTATGTTGTTTTCCCCCCCCCCTGTTGGTTTTAAAGGGAATTGATTTCACTACTGAAAATATATATTTTTTACTTTTCCAGGGGCCTCAACCAAATGAAAACCATTCTGCCGCTGTGGCGAGCGTCAAGTCTTGAAAGGGCATGTGCTGGACCTCTTCCGGGACGCTGTCAACTGGAGGTGTCTCTTGCGGTCCTTCGCTCGGGCGATGCTGCCGACGTCAGGTTGGGCCAAGCGCTTTTGCCAGGTTTCAGAGGCTCAAGTGTTCTTCCAATGACGGCAATCCCGACGTTCGCATTTGAGATGACGTCTCCTCCAAATCCTCACAGTGAGTTTTGCCCGGCGAGGTCATCACTTGACCAAAAGCAATTCCTCAGTTCTTCAGTGGCGCCCTTTTTTCCCTTTTTTTGGTGGCTGCCCCACTAAAAGTGGTCTTCCCCGAAAAGGATTCCCTTTTTTTCCCTGGGTCACTGAACAACTGAGATTCGGGCCGCCCTTGGTGTGCGGCTTTCCCGACCTGACATGCGGAGACGTCGCCTCTGCACCTCCGCAAGTTTCCGGCGCGGCGGGCCGGGATTGGGCGACCCGTTGGCGGTAAAAGGTCGCTCATGGCTAGGGTTGTGAAGCTTGAGGTGCTTTACCTGAGGGTTGTAAATGGAAGCATGGGATATATATATATATATATATATATATATCTACATACATACATACATACATATATATATATATATGTGTACACATGGTTGTTGTTGGGAACCATTGGAAACATGTTTGATCTTCTTGTGGTTTAGTGGTTGAAATCCAAATCCACTGAACTGCTAAAAATTTGAGAATTGTTGCTCCCCTTCCAACGTCAGCCAAGTTTACCTGAGGATCCTTCACTCAAATTTTGAACATGCACTCCTTGCAGTTGTTCAACTCTTCCAGGGGTACGTTCCCCATTCATTCCAGGGATCCTTCCTTCTAGAAAACCTCCGGAAACCGAGGGAAAACGGCCGGTGTTCGGAAAGAACGATGGTTGGAAAGAATGGAAATGGAATCAACCCCTAGAACTGCTGATCCTCAAACACCCCGGAGGGTCGAGCTCAGAAATCAGCAGCGCGCTTGGTCAAACCGGTTCCCATTTGGGTGTGTTTTGTTTGGAGTTCGCACCCTTGGTTCAGTTGGCGTGTTTTGGGACAGAGAAGAGAAAGCCGCCCATGCTTGTTGGAGACTGGGTCCCTTTTTTGGGGGGGAACCCGGACCCGTGTTAGGGTTCCCCAACCCATTTGAGTGCCCGAATTCCCATCCAATTTTAGGGGGTTCAGCGCGGAAACAACTCCAGCTTCAGGATCGATATCTCAAGAAGACCACCAGGCCGGCACCGCAAGCATCTCTTCAGACCGCTTGGAACCTTGAAGTAGTCCCAGGGCAACGACTGGTCTTTTTCCCGGTTGGAATCGAACCCAAAACTGGCTTCACTTGCATGGATTTTGCTGCAGCCCGACCCATTGCTCGGGTATCCTTTGAACACCGTTTCCTCATTGGCATATGTCATTTTTTGCACCCAACGTTTTGGACATTGGCTGTTTCCCTGCTCAGCCGAAGCTAAACAGTTTTTGTTGTTTCAAGGGGGTCGCAACGCGATCCTAATCGCCCAACCTGGTCCCAACTTGACCAATGTCTTTCAGGTTTAACCTTGAGATTCGAGATTCGAGTGGATCAATCTCGCGGAAGAAAAATGGCCGAGGCGCAAAAAAGGAGCGCGTGGCACCGGCTTCACACCATGTCCCCTTGAGGTTTGACACCTCACAGGTATGGCCCAAGTGAGATGTTTGGTTCGGCTGCGGTCTGAAAGGGGTTGTTTGTTCAAACTTCCCCATGAACCACCCCAGCAACCTCGTTAAGATCCTAGCCAATCTGTATTTGGATTGGTGGTGGTGAACGGGTGGGGTTCAAATGTCCAAACCAAACCAACAAATAAGGGGTAGATGAATGAATGCTAAGAGCTAGGGGTCTGGAACATACAATGCACACCCCTGTTCAATTGTGGATTGTATTGAACCACCAGTTGTAGGGAAGCTGGATCATCCAGCATTCATTAGGGGGCGTTTGGGGTGGCTGTGACTGGCCGATTGCTTCAAACATTGCCAGCCATGGGACACCGCCCATCCAGCCTCGGGGGGGTTCAGTGTTCCCAGGTGCGGCCAGTGAAGCAGCAGGCGCGAGCGAGATGGCGCAAGCAACAGATACTTCTTGGAGGGTGTCTTCAGGTAGCCTCAAATGGTGGTTGGTGGTTTGGGAAATTGAACCCCAGCTCCTGTTGACACAAGATGGAGAAGGTACTCCCTAAGGTTCAAACTGACATGTCTCACTGGCCCTTCTCCCCACTTTGGGAGGGTCCCCTGCTCTCCCCTTCTCTCACAGTCGGGGACACAGACCACACAGACCAAGTCGCGTCACGGAGCAAACGGCCCCTCAACAAGGGCCCTGCTTTAAGGTGACGCCGTTCAAGGGAGCCTGGTGTCCAAATTTCGGCGCTCTAGATATTGCACAGTCTGTTGTTTTATGTGATTTGTGTTATTGTTATGTTTCCTTGTTGGTTTTAAAGGGAATCTGTCACTACTGGAAATATCTGATTTTTTCCCAGGAGGCTAGAGCAAATGGAAGCACACAAAACTGTTGTTTAACTTATTTTCCATGGTTCCCTCGATTGGAGTCCAGGCCTCTGGAAGGTGTTGCACCAACAGATGGTTGCCCTTTTGAGGATGGCGAGCAATGCTGATCGCATCTGTTGAAATGCAAGCTTGAAGTGGAACCCGAAAGCCCTCTCTGGTTTGCTTGCGACTCAATAAACCCCAACGTAAACATAGGGCCTTGTGCTCCCTCGCTTCCTCTTTTCCTAACCGCCATGCGTAGCCGGTGTGGTTCATGTTCGCTGCGGAACCCCCAGGTCCGTGAGAAGGGAATCCCACTCGGTGCCTTGGGGACGCAAACGAAAAACTCGGCGGGCTTCGAAGGAGAGTTGGAAAAACCAGAGCCACAAACCTGGGTAGAAGGTTAGTAAGGGCCAATCCCAGCCAAAAAACATGCTGCGGAGATCCGGCTTCTTTAATTATTGAAGCATGGTTCTGGGTTCGCCATTTTAATACCGGGTTATGATTGTGGCTCAACTGGGGATCGTCCAATTTGGATGTTTCAAGTCACTTCTGTGTACTCTGTCGATCACCCACTCGAAAAGGGTACCCTGGAAAACCCATGGTGTTTCTCAAGCTTTCCTTTCTGAGGTCGCTTTTGGAGGTGTGGTTGTAAAGGGGATTGAGGCAGTGGCAACTACCCTTGAAGAAATGTGAGTTGCGTTTCGGACCCTGGGTATATGGTGTACCCGCCAAGTCGATAGAATACCCACAGCCCGCCAAGTGCAGTTTGCTCTGACTTATCATCTAGGCTACTGACCACTTTTTATCAGACTTCAAGCTTTTTGGGAAGGCCAATTTGGTGGTAAGCCAAAAGCTTGGACTGTGTTGGGGCAGTCCACTTGCGAAGATGGTACATTAACCACTTGCTAAGACAGAACATTCGCCAGTCTAGTGACTTAGTGGTGCTCTTGTTCCCTTTGAAGGGGATTTCCTCTTGAATCAAGCACTCCCTTCCAACTTAGCATGGAACCCAAAAGGGAGTCCAATTCCGAAAAGGAGTTTCCTTGTTTTTGTTGGTTTCAAAAGTGTCCTTGCTTCTTCCCTAAAAATCCGGGCTGAGATACTGTGGATGGACCAAATCCTGCACCACTTTAAAGCCATGGTTGAGCTTTTCTTGGTACTTACAGTGCAATCATCATTCCAGGGATTTTTCCTCGGTGGTGCGAGATCCGGATTTCGCGAAACCATCCACAGTACGTAGTGTTTGAACTGGGTAAGGAGTTTCCTCTAATTCAATGGTCGTGTTTTTGGGGGTTCCATGTTATGTAGCAAAAGTGCCCTTGCTTCTCCCCTAATCCAGGCTGAGATCGATCCGGTGACCCGCGGTTCTCGTTTCGCGCGCGGTTCGCGCGCGCGCAGGAGGTTCAGGTGGACCACATGGACCGCCTGGAGGGCTCCGTTGTCCCCACCTCCGCCAGCGGCCTCAGATGGGACGCGACGGGGCGACGGGAAGGAGACCTGAGGCATCTCAAGCCACTCCCCTTGTCTTGACGTTTTTTTTGGGTTGCATCTGGAGACTTGAACACTTTTTGGGAAATCTGTTTTTGGTTTCCACGAAGCCCGCAAGTTAAGATCAAGTTCCCTTTCGGGGATCCCTTTCAGGGTGCCATAGTGCGAGAGAGGCTTCCTGAGGGAACTGAAGCTGATCAATCAGGGCACCTGAATGGTTTGTCTCATGGAGCAGTGTGTTCCATTTGGCTGTGGTTCTCAAAATTAAACGATCGGAGGGGCTGGCTCCGCAGGTTTTGGTCCATGTTTCCACTTACCAGGGCAAACCATGTTGGAATTCCGGTTCTTTGAGCAGCCATTTGATTGAATTGATTTCCCTTCAAGCCAACCTTGAAAAAAAAAGTCCCCTGAGAAGGACCCCCTGTCAGGGTTCCATGTAAAACAGAAAGAAAACAAACAAAAACAAAATGGCGGGAGGGTACATATGTATACCTGGTTTATGTTCTTTGGAGGCCTCGGGGTATATCCAACATGAAATACATGACCCCAGTCCTTGTCTCAAATAGTAACCCAAAAAAAAGCCAATTAGGTCGAGCTTCACGCACTCAAAGGGGAGATAAGGATCCTGGACCCTCCAACTACCCATACAAAGGGAACTCACCAACCAGAATTTGGGCAAAACAAGCAATTGTTTAACCAGAGTGGGCAAAACAAGCATTTGTTAACCAGAATTTGGGCAAAACAAGCATTTTTTAAACCAGAATTTGGTCAAAACAACCAATTGTTCAGGAAGTGTGAGGGTCGTGAGCCAGGTGTTGTTCGATTCGAACGGATTTTTGAGTGATTCGAGCGGTTTGCGGGGTCAATTTGGATGGGGAAATTCGGCGATGCTTCCAGTCAAATTGGAGCCAGAGGAAGGGGAGTCATGGGAAGATTTATGGTCCTGCAGTCCTTCACGACACCCTCTTATAAGTCCAATCCGGGTTTGTCGGCACCCCGCAAACCAAAATGGCAAGGAAAGGCACAACGTGGTTTTTCTGTTGCTTGCCGTTAGAACCCACCAAAACGGGGTACCTTGAAAAAGAGACACACCCACCCACCCCATGGGGGTGGGGGGGGCGGCACATCATTGTGGCTCGCCGAGGCTGCGTTCTGCAGCAGCTTGGCCGAGGGGTTGGAGTTCGGTGGGCTGCCCCTTCTCAAAACTGTTTGGTGGACATGAATCCCACCGAAATTGATGTCTTCCCAAGGGTCACCAAAAACAAAAACTTGCGCACGCACGTTTAACCCCCCCCTGTCCCGCTGGCCAAGCTGGAAAGTGCCGCCTGTTTAACGCCATGAAAAGAAATGTCCTTGTTGCGAGGTGTTGCTTCAAGGGACAAAAACGAAGCCCTCACACCTCACTTCCTCAGTTCATGAACTTTAAAGTTTTTGGAAAGACCATTTCAGTGGTAAATATAAAGTTTGGACTTTTTTTGGGCCATCCACTCAGCAAGCGAGCCACAGACTGGCAAAGCTGTTCAAAAGCAATCCGCCGAATTCCTCCAGTGGGTTGTGAAAAATGTCATTATCCCTTCGAGACATACAGGTCCTATCCTGTGGTCAAGATGTGCTGGGTAAACTGCCAGCGTCTGACTTTTATGTTCCGAGTTGGCAGTGTTGAGTTGTCCTTTTTGTTGCAGGGGCATGGAGTGGTTGTGCACCGATTAAAAGCTAGACGATTTCTGCGACCCTTTGCCCGAACGCCCGGCTTTCCATGAGGGAGTGCGTCGGGTGTGTTTGGTTTAAGGGTTAGACCCCAAAAGTGGGTGGTGTGTCTTTTGGTTTCCCTTAAAAAACCACAACTCTTGAGGGGTGCCCTACAAAAAAGCCACCGCCGCAGCTGGTTGTGATGGACCCCGAAGTTGGACTTGGCTTAAGTTTGTAGACCTTGGAACCTGGCTTCAAGTAGCACGAGAGTGTAGAATCCAATAAAGTCATCACAGGCAAATCTCCATAACTCTTTGGCCGCGAAGAATTGCGCCCTGGGAGATTTGGTGGGAGCTTTCTGGAGTGTGCATCCTCCTATTCAGCGAAAATGCTCGGGAGTGAATTTCCTTGCTGGTGCTGCAACCTAGGGGGCGGATGGGGGGGGGGCAATAGGGGTCGGTCCCTCATGCTGAGAACCAGCAGTGTCCGAACCAATGGAAAAGACCAGCGGTGTTGCCGAGCTGAAATTCGAGGGAATGACCTCCTTTATGTCGCTTGCTGGAGGTCGCCGGTCGCGCCAAACAAAGGCAGGCGCTTAGTGCTAGGATGAGTACATGGCAACTAGGTCCCCCAGTAGTGCTCTTTGACCGTTTCCTTTTTGGGGGAGGGTTCCCCAAAATAGACTACCGGAGAAAAAAGAAAACAAACAAAACGGTACCCATGTTCTTACCTCTTTTGGTGGAGAACCTAGTGGCACTAAGCGCCGGCCGAGAGGCAAGCCGTGAACTTCCCGCCCGCGTTTGAGCGCGTTGCGCAAGGTGGACACGAACCCAAGGAACTAGGCCGTGAAGACATGGAGGTTTCTCGAAATAGGCTGGTTCCTTTGGTGTTCTTTAACCAACAACCAACAACAAGGGGGGGTGTTGACTACATGTAGGAACTGTGGGTTCCTTATCATGTCCCTGAGCAGCACTGAGGACTCTGAACAACTGGCCAATCCAATTGTTTGTCGGTTGGCTAAGCACAGATCGTCCATCGTTGCTTGGAGGGATAGCTGAAGCTGTTGCTGCAGCGAGGCTGTAGAAAAATCTTATGGATCGGACGCCTGGGTTTAAAACAATATGAGGATTGAGCCATGCTGTCATCACACTGTGGATGGACCAAATCCTGCACCACCTAAGAAACCCTGGAATCAATGTTGATTCCCCTGTAAATACCAACAAACAATGGTTTCAACAATGGTTGCAACAATGGTTTCAAAGTTGTGCAGGATTTCGTCCGTCCACAGGGCAGCCCCAAACTCTGGCGGTTTCTCACCTTGGTTTCTCTTTGAAGCAGCTCCAAAATAGGTACCAGCTTTTTTTTATTAAAAAAAGGCTTCCACGCACATTTCTCCCAGGAGCCCAGTCGAAACGGGCAATGGCAACCCAAAAGCTTGGACTTGTTTTGGCACACCCAGGAAGTGAAAGATGTATGCACCCTTTCTATGGGTGTATGTACATTTTGAGCGTATCCTGACACACTCCCTGCGTTCCTGGACTTGACAATTTTTTGGGCAACCCGTTTTTGGTGCGACAAGAAACTCAGTTTGGACCTTCTGGTTGTGCATCTCTGTTCTTAGCCAACCCCCCAAGGATGGTTTTCTTGTTGGTTCCCCCTGAAAACCGCCAAAAAACATGGGGGTCCGCACCCCCCCCCCCGAAAAAAGACGAGGCCTGCTGTGCTTCGTCGGCATTCTGCTGGTGCGGCGCTACGTGCCGAAAGCCAACAAGCACTGGCTCTGCCGCACCCCCCACGTCTGCGTGGGCAGTTTGGTGCTCGTGACCTTCCTGCAGTGCCGCGACCTCGGGATCGGTTTGGACTGGTGAGAGGGCTTTGGGAGGCGAGGGGGAACTGCTGTCGACTAGGTCCAGCAGCTTTCCCTTTCTCTCCCCTTTTTTGGGGAAGGGAGGGTTCCCCTAAAATAGACTACAGAAAAAACAAGAAGGTCGGGTGCCCACCCTTATTGCAACCTTTGTAGTGGAGGACCTAGTCGATATGACCACAAAACGGATCGCGTTTGCAAAGTGGGGAGGCTTCCAGGTAGCCAGTCAAGTTGGTGAGGATTCCTAGGACTGACCCCAAACGTGGAACCTGAAAACCTGTGCCCCGGGTAGATTTTTTTTGGCTGCCATGTTGCACCGTTCAGGTTCCTGTTTGGTTGCTTTGGTCGAATTGATGTTGCTTCCCTCAGTTGTTCAGTGGCACCCTTTTTCCCCTTTCTTTTTGTGGCTGCCCCACTAAAAATGGTCTTCCCCAAAAGGGTTCCCTTTTTTCCAGGGTCACTGAACAACTGAGTTCCTCGATTTAGTGACCAGTTTTTGGTGAGTGGAGTCCACCCTTTAGCGCTGAGAATGTCTGCGGCCCTGAACCGGTTCCGCTGTGGGTCTAGCCTGGGAACTCGACGCCTTCGTTGGGTCGTCTTCTGTCGCGTTCCTGGCCCCAAAAAAGGGATCCGCTTACGGTTCAATCAGGCTGAGCCATGGTGCTTGGATCCGGAAAAAGTCCTGCAACCATTGGATCTTAATACATAGTACGACCATGGAAAGAGTTGCAGAACCGCGTTGGGAGCAAACCGAACGTCCCCCCCTTCCTTAGGAAAGTGATTCTCGCGGCCCGAACCTCTTTGGCCGGTCCCGTGATCCGTTTTGCGAGCGCTTTCCTCCAATGAAGCTTAGCGAGGGAGACTGCCTTCGAAGGGTTCTAGGATTGCTTTCCGGGCAGAGAAACCCTGCCTGTTTTACGGAACGAGCTCTCCATTCAGGTTATTTTTTGGTGCCTGGTGCCTCTTGGTCAGGAACTGAATCCACAAAATGCCATACCGAGAGATGTTCGAGGACCTGATCGATGTGAGCGCCCGAAAATTGGTGTTGGCCAAGTTAGGTGGGTCCTGAGTTCCTACCAATTCTACCTGAGTGTCTTTTCTGGTTGCGGCTCGGTCAGCCAAAGCAGCCGGCACATTCTTTTGAGACGAACCCAGTGGTTGACTTGGGCACCGGAGCGCGCCGTTGGAACCTTGGCTGCAGACCACTTAGGAAGTGCCACAAGTTGGAGCTTGGAGAATCTGGCAGATGTGGCTAGTGTATTAGTGAGAGACAGTACCAACCAGGAATCGCTGTAGACTCTCTCTGTTTCTTTTGTGCATGCTATGGCTCTTGTTGTTTTCTCGCTCCGAAATCCACAAAGCATGTGTTCTCCCTCTTTGTTGAACGGGCTCTCAACCAGAAATGGTGAACCCCAAGAATCTGGAGCCCACCCAAAATGGTTGAGTCTAAGATGCATTTTCTTGGGATTGTTGTGTTGCCACTTGTTCCTCCTTTGTACACGCGTTCAGCATTCCTGTTTCGCTACCTATGGGGGTGGATCCGAAAAAGACGGCCATCCAGGCTTTGAATGGTCCCAGTGATTTGCTGAGGCAGTGTCATGGTGCTGCGCAGCAGCCACGTCAAGGAGGCCGATCGGGCACATTGGGCACATTGGGCACTTGGGTTTCTGTGTAAGCTTTGGGTCTCAGCGTCTCAGCCAAGATCGGCTCCGGGTGGTGCGGGGCCACCAGGCTTCCACGAGGAATTTGCGAGGGCCGAGCACTAAAAAAGCACCGCATGCTGTTGGGGATGTTGCCTCAGCTTATTTTTATTTTATTTTTATTTATTTTTTTCGGAGAGGGGGGGGTGGGCCTAGGGTCCATTTTGCAGTTCAAGGACTTACTTGCCCAAAGCAAATCGACCTTTCAACAGGTGGTGTTCGTGATTGCGTCAATATTTAGTCAGGATTCCAACAGGCCAACCTTGTTGTTACAGATCCTGTGGCAAGTGAAAGGAATGCGGTCCTTTGAACTTCGTGCCAACTAACAAGGTGCCCTTGTTTCCCCCGTTTCGTACAGGTGCCACACGAAAACCAGGAAGGTATGTCTAAACTGAATGGTTGATCGTTTTAGTCTCCCCCAAAACTCTGTGTTTCTCCCAACATCTCATTTCCTGTTTCATGGTCCAAAAGGATCCACGTGTTTGTTTCTGGGTTCTTTGCGGGTCTTTTAGAACAAGGATGCCGTTTGGGAGTACCAGGCCCGTGGCGTCCGGCGTTGAGGGTCGAACGGCGCAAGAGCTCGCGAAGTGGGGGAAAGAAAGGAAAACCCATGACTCACTCCATGGTTGTTGTTGGGAAACATTGGAAACATGTTTGCTTATTGTGGTTTAGTGGTTGAAATCCCCACTTAACTGCTAAAAAATATATATTTTTTGCTCCCCTTCCAACGTCAGCCATCACTCCTTGAGTTTCCCGTTTCGGACCTTAGTCACGTGTGAAGACAAATCTGGGAAGCAAGAAGTTTGGATACTGGGCAGTCCACTCAGGAAGTGAGATGAAGGGTCTTAGTGCTGAAGATATCGGGACCCAGCTCATGTCGCTGGATTTGCTGTATCACCTGTCGAAGCGGAGTTCCAGCAGGGGTGCTTGTCAAGCCGAGACAAAGGAGAAGCTGGGCCAACTGGAACATCACCGATCGAACAGCCCCTCCGAAGAAAAAAAACGGCTGGTCGAAGCAACTTGAGCCCCTTTCCACCACCAGAGGCTCCATGTGGGTCCATTTCACAGCAACAATGTCTTCCAGACCACTCGGTCGGGTTCCAGTAGACTCTACTGCTATTGGGTTGGATCTTTAGACTTTAACTTTTTGCATTCCCCTCATATTCTTTCTAACCAGCAAAACGTTTAACTTTTTGTTGGAATCTACAGCACCCAAGTAGAAAGCAGAGTAAGTTCCAGGTTTAGGTCAACATCGACCCGTCGCGCAGGAGAGCCTGCGTCCCGCCGTGCACGCGGAAGACACCCCACAGCAATTCCTGGGAGTGGATGCGCAAGACTCACTTGAGGCAGGATGCGTGGCCTCCGAGTTTTGGTCGAACTTGGGGCTAGGTCCCCCAGTAGTGCCCTTCTCACCCCTTTTTTGGGGGAGGGTTCCCCTACTAAAATAGACTACAGAAAAAAGTTGGTTCCCTTCTTCTAACTTCTCTCTACTGGCGGACCTAGGGGGAGAACGGCGTCAATGGCCTGCCAAAGGCGTACGACCAAAATAGTCTCGCGTGTAAGCAGGTGTAATCTAGTTTTTGTTTTGTGAAATTATTGTTGGGTGTGTATTTTGGAGGGTACCCCTTTTCAGTGGTTTCAAAAGAAAACCAAAAGCAAAATCAAAATCAATGTGTTTTGGTCCAACCTGAAAAGCGACACACATTACCTTTCGCACGGGGATCGCAGATCTGAGGGCTTTGCAACTGCCAGGACCTTCCCGACCTTCCCGAGACGACTCCCTCCGAGGAGACTCGCGCCCTTTTTTTCGATGATTTTACGCGGTGGAGAATGCATCAACAAAGTCCCTCTGATTACTTGGCGTTTACCAGCAGCCTTGGATTTTTTGGAAATTGAGGGTTGGAGGGTTGACATGCTGTGGATGGTTTCGAAATCCATTTTGCGCCGAGGAGAAACCCCAGGAATTGACTCCGCTGTAAGTACCAACAAACGTGATGGTTTCAACCACGGTTTCTTAGATTGCAGGATTTCGTCCAGCACAGTGATTTGTCCCAGCAAACCAAGGGGAAGGTATCTTGCGTTAAGTGTCCATGTGCTAGCCCTTTGTGCTGAGGCAGCCAGCAAGAAATGGACAAAGTTTGTTACAAGTTTCGAGACCATCCTGGAAGCCCGAGCCGACGCCGTTTAGGCGATGACTCTTCTTTAGCTGTGTCGGAAGTTGGTTGTTCCTTCGTTCAAAATGACTCACGTCTCAAGTTCCTGGAGTTTAAACTTTTTTGGAGGAACACTTTAGTGGAAATAATATAGTTTGGACCTTCTTTTTGGGCCAACCCGCTCAGGAAGTGAGAAGAACTGCAGTAGCCGTTTCGGCAAATGCACGCATTCCTCCCACCGACGTACGCTATGCACTCTATAGCGGACCACAGGCGATGTTGACATCATGCAACATACCGGTACCACCATGCGTCTGAAAGCAGGGGACCCACAAAATCGTGGCTTTCCTTTCGGGTTCCCATTGAACCAACCCCAAAAAGGATATCAACAAAGGTGGCACGCCCATATTATACATATATAGCTCTCTATTGGAATTACCTTGCTTTTCATCTGGCCATTTTTTCCAGCGCCTGATGCCTAACTCCTGACCATGGCTTTTCAAGGCTCCTGACATGAGCTTGTCAGTTGGCACTATCTTGTGAAGTATGTTCACCGCATCCCAACAAAGCAAATCGACAGCCCAATCATGAGGATCTCTGAACCCTAGCGCTGCTTCCAATGAATTCTTGGCACCCTTTGGTCTGACACCATCAACCAGAACAGACTCGCCTTGGCGCCAGTTTGACCGACCGAAATGGGGTGAGCGCTTCTTGGGATTGGTTTCCCGGGATCTTGATCCACTGCGGTGCGGCAAGGCGAGCAAGCAAGCCAGACTGCCACCAACCCTGAACCCACCCGAAACCAACCCTAAACCCCAGCAAGCAGGGAACAAGCAAGCAAGCAACTCCAAAGCATCCCTAAACCGACCCTAAACCAACCCAATCCAAACTAACCCTAAACAACCCACCCTAAACCAACCCTGAACCAGCCCGAAAACTAGCGTAAACCAAGCGCAAGCAAACAAGCAAGCAAGCCTAAACCAACCCTAAACCACGGTAAGTCAATCCGAAAGCAAGCCTAACCCCACCAGCGTAAACCGCCCGTAAATCGACCCGAAACCAACTCTAAGCCCCCAAACGGAAACCTAAACCTTTCCTGAGCGGACCTTGAACCAACCCGAAACCAACCCTACAACACCCTAAGCCAACCCAAACCAACCCTAAGCAAAACCTAAACCAGCCGTAAAGCAATCCTAAAGCACCCCAAACCAACCCTACATCACAAACCACCTTAGATCACCCTGAGGCAACCCTAGACCCAAACTACAGTGGAAAGAGCCATCCCCATTGGGATAAAAAGAATGCCTCGGCACCACCTGCAAAATGTGGTAATGCACCACAAAAGAGCAAACAGATGCCCTCGTTGTTCAGCAGGACATGATCTTTAATAGGGAATGACTCCCCGCCTAGACGATGTCCACCGAAGGGTCCGCATTCAAGCTCATACCCCTTTGCAACGCGGCGACGGCTTTTCGTTGTAAGAAAGGGAATGCGGGAATGAGGGATGGCTCCCACTTTTGTACAGGGAACCTCACCCTTCAAGTTAAAACCTCGGACATGTCAGTGGGAAGGTCGTTGTTTGCTGTGTTACTTCGAACAAAGCTCCGGACAAAATGCATACATATATAATGCATATGTCTACATACATACATACATACATACATACATACATACATACATACATACATACATACATACATACATACATACATACATATATATATATAAATACATATATATATATATATATGTACATGCACGTCACATGTGTGTGTTTATGTCCCTTGAAAGATCAATGATGCCAATATCATGGCCACCTCCGCACCGCACCGCAGCGATCCGCGCCAGGAGGTGCCGTGCCGTCAGGCGAGAGTGAGTTTGCGGGCGCTTTGGTTCCTACCTTTACCATCTTGCCAGACGCCAGTCGGGTTTTGGTGGCTTGGGACACCTTCCGAAACGCTTCATCTCAGACCCTTGAAGCCTTGATGGTGTGGCGTAGGGCTTTGAACCCCTGAGATAGTAAATGGGAAACCCCGAACCGCCCCTTGGCCGAAGGCTTGTGGATGTCATGTTCGAGATCCAACACATTTCAGAGAACCCTCGATTGCTGGTTTGGATTGGTGGTTTGGGAGATTGAACCCCTGGTTCTTGTGGACGGTAGATGGGAAACCCCCTCCTGAACCACCAAACCGCCAATCCAAACCCCCAATTAGAGGGAAGCTGAACATTGTTTTCTGAGTCAACTTCGGTCGGTTTAGGCTACGTGTTTTGGAAACATCCTGGTTCTGGGACTCTACTCCTGGACTGCTTTCTTTGTTCCAGGCAAAAAAGCCGATCTCGCTCCCTTGGGCTCAGACCCAATCTAAGCCATTTGGGGGAAGTGATGGGCTTGGGCCGGGGAGGAAGGCCTCCCCCACTCCACTTGAAAGTTGGCCGCCCAAGTCCCACATTTCTCCTTACGAAAGAAGGCCCTTTTGCGCTCGCGGCAAGCGCGAAGCCGCAAGCGCCGGAAGCGGCGCGCTCTGCTCAGGTCACGCCCTTTGACTTCGGCGCCAAAGGCGATGGCCACGCGGACGACTCTGCGCCCGTGCTGCCGCGAGCCGAGAGCCGAAAGCCGAAAGCATCTGCAACAGAGGGCCTGTGGTCCCATTTGCTTGGTGCTTCACATCCGCGGTGCGTTTAGCTTTTTAAGGTTTAGTGGCAGTTTCCATTTAACCCACTAAATGGAAAGCTTTGAGCAAAGGATCTGAGGGCAGCCCGGCTAAGAATATGTTTTGTGTTCCCTAGGTTGATTTTTAAGTCGGAATCTATTACTCCTGAACATGTTCTCATTTGTTCCAGGGGGCAAAAAAGCAAATGAAAGCATGGGGGAGTGTTCTCTTCCCAAACTGGTGAAGCCCCAGGAAAAGGCGGTACAGGCCCCGAAACAACAAGGGGGTTATACAAACCGGGCTGCAAATAAGGAAAAACCATTTAAATAAAAACAATAAATTGAATTATATAAATTCAATAAATCGTAAATATATACATCAACAATAGCATGCAGCAAGGCAACATGTCTTTAACACTGCAGAGCAAGAAACAATATATAAGCAACAAAATGAGATATTTTCCTTTTAATTAAAGCCACAACAAAAATTCGCAACAAAACCTACGAATTGGGGCGGTCTTGGTGTGACCGAATTTGAGCCTTTTGGGGTGGTCAACCTTTTGCTCATGGGGGAAGAGCAGCCCAGAAAAGGGGTGAGGCCTATACCAATATGCTAGGACAAGTATCCGATAAGATCATCGGTGGTCTTCGGTGGTATTCGGGGCGACTTGGGGTTGGCAAAATCAGCAAAAGCCCGCAAAACCGATAAGAAGCCACCCAAAACCAATACCCCCACCCACCTCCCTTGTTCAACCTCAAAACACTGACAAATCGCAGGGGACCAGCCAACTTCCTGGCATTGAGTTTTAGCCAAGCCTGCTTTCCGCTCATGACTCCAGGGTTTCTCCTCGGTGGTGCAAAGAGACTAGGTCCCCCAGTACCCTTTTACCCTTTGTTGGGGGAGGGTTCCCCACAAACATAGACAGCAAAAGTTGGTACCCTTATTCTAACCTCTCCACTGGAGGACCTGGGAGAATATTTCGGCGGATGGCCGCGCCAACCGCCTCCTGACTCGTGCCTCAACCGCGGGAACCCGAGCCCCGAGAGCCAGGTCCGCCATCCTGCACGGCGCCAAGTGCCAGACGGAGGTCATCATCCCCAGCCGCAGGTTTCTGGTGATGCCCACGCTGCAAGTGCCCGAAGCCCCAGGAAAAAAAATGAGAAAAGAGAAGAAGCAATCACATCGGTCGCTCTTTGCTTTGCGCTCCACACCCGATGTGTTGATTATTGCTTCTTCTTTTTTTCCAACTGTTCAAGTGGTTCGGTTCCACGTCAATGGTGTTCAATAGATGATAAAGCCTACCTGCACGCGAAAGAACTACCCATATAAATGTTGGCATCTCCCAACGACACAATCTCCGGGTTGCAGTGAATAGCCCATCTTTAAGTTGAAATTTTGGTCCAGGTATATGAAGCTTCATGAGCCAAGAGTCAATGACTTTTCGGGCACTCGCCTAGGTTCGGTCATCTATGGAGTTGATTTGATGGGGGGAACTCGCGAAGTTTCCGAGCAAAATCAAGGCACTTCCCAGTTTTGGCCATATCGTTTTGGGGGAACACCCTGAAATATTCAGAGTGGCTCACCTGGAAGGTCGTTGAACAAGGCTGCCGATTCCTTTCAGGACACGCAGTGTCATTTTGTGCGACCTGCTTTCAAGCCCTTTATCAAATGTGAGGCTGGTTACAACCTTACAACTCCATGGGAGATGGTCCGAACCCAAACCCTGGAATTGCCCGTTGCTATGTTTGTGTTTCAACTCCCGGCCTCATGGGCTTCTGGTTGCAGGCCGCGTCTCGCGCGGGCGCATTGGCTCGCAAAGTGGTATGTTGTTCTTCTCTCACATAAACATACGTCCAGACAGATGGACGGACGGAGGGACGGACACAGAGTTACATACATTTACTCACGTGTGTGTCAACACAGGGGTCCTTTGGTGGTGGTCCTTTGGATTGAACTGGTCAAAGCAGGGTACCCTCCAAAGTCACACCGACACATGCAAAAAGACACACGTACAAACATACAGGCGTACATGTGTACACGTGTTCAATCATGCAAACATACACGCAAGTACTCGGCAAGCCAAAGGTCCGGGCAACATTGGGGGCCCAGACATCAAGTGCCTGGCTTTTTGTTTGAGGGGCTTTCCCTTTAAGAAGCAGACTACCAACAACTCATGTCCAAAGCCGACCTTTTCCATTTTTAGTGATGGCCCCAAACGGCTAATCTTCTAGTTCCAGGTCCTTTGGGCAACCGAGAACAGAAGGCGAAGCTTTCCATGAATTTTTCCCGGTCTGCTGCTGGATGAGGACGGTGGAGAATGTGACCATCATCTTCGAGGGCGTTCTGGCCCCGCGCCCAGCGCGAAGGAACTGAGAAGCCCTTCGGAAAGTTCTCAGCAGTCGTTCCCGGATCAGACTTTTGTTTTTTACTTTATTTTTTTAGTATTTTATGTTTAAGTTTGTTTTTTGTTTTTATTATTATTGTTTCTTCGGTAGGTGTTTCTCATTTCTAGGGGTTGATTCCCTGTCCATTCCTATTCCTTTCAACCATCGTTATTTTCAAAATATCAGCGGTTTCCCCAGGAGTTGTTTTTTTCTTTGATGGTTTCCTGCAAAGATCCGGATCCCCGGGTTCAGAATGGAAATGGAAGCTCCTAGATTGGGTCGCAGCCAAGCGCCCATCTTTGAACTGTGGGGCGGCTCAAGCGAATCCTCCGGTTCAACTTAGGTGCCTTTCTTTGGCAGACTGTTTCTTTGGTTTCGTTGGATCAGTTTTTTAGTATTTAGGTGGGTTTTTCGTGGTTCCCAGCCATGCTTTTAGGTTTTTAGGTTTGCAGTTGGTTTCGTTGGGTGTCCGAATTGTGCACCAAGTGGTCGACTGAGCAGATCCGAGAATGGACTGCCCAGGTTTCGAGGTGTGCGAAACGGTTCCTAGGAAGATTGGAACAGACGCCCTTGGGAGGAGTCTCCGCTTGTTTGGGGGAAAAGCACTTCGTTTTTTTGTTTGTGTTCATGTGAGCCACAAAAAGAAAGAAAAACGGGTGGTTGAAGGATGATTCCAATCATAAATGGGTGCCTTCGCCGCCTGTTTAGTTCTTTACACGGTTCTGGGGAGACCATTTTAATGCCAGGTTTTGATTTTGACTCATGTTAGTTTGCCAGTTTGCCGGAACCGTTTGCCCCACAGCCTGGAAAGGAGGGGTGGTACCCTTCAACATCCGAAGCCCCGGGTTGCAGTTTGGCATGCCTCCCGCTCCATGGAACCTGCCAGGGGGGGTGGAAAACCATTTTCCTTTTAAAGGGACCCCCTGTCAGGTTCCGTGTTAATTGGCGCGAGGGTAGTAGTTGTTTCAGTTTCCTTTGAGTCCACTTGAGTCGGGTACACGGAACCGAACACTCCTTTTCTCCCTTTCTCGGAGGAGAAACCATAAGGACACCACCCATTTCTTTGTTTTGTCTTTTTGTTTTGCGGGGGCATATGTTCATAGAGTCCAACTGATGTTGATTCACACGTCGGGTCTTCCTTGCACACTGGAGCTTGGTGCACTTTTGCTCATGGCCGCGAAGCTTTTGCTCATCTTACCCCGATACTCGTCTCATTTTTGTCATTGCCGCGATGATTGCGTTGAGCCGCAGCATCTTGCACCTGTGCCTTGTCCTCTTTGCGGTGGTCCAGTCGGAGAGTGATCAGTGCGAGGGTGCCCAGACAGCAAGCGCAGTGCTACTTCAAGCTTCTACCGCTGCCAACCGCACTCTTCAAGCTTCTACTGCGGACCACACGGAGGCAGAGGTCGCGGAACGTATCGAGCAGGACTTGGAGGACATCGAGGACTCCCTGGTGGAGAGAGCCCGCGCCCGTGGGGACTCTGAACTGGAGCTGGAAGATGCGGTCCAGGGCAAGAACTCAAGGCGCCGGCGCAGCCGACGGCGTACAACGACCACAACAACCACCGTGAACTGCGGGTCCAGCACAGACTCCTACTCCCTTGCCTTTACGATTTATGGGGGCAGCTGCCTCGAGGGTCCCAACACTGGAGGTGCGGCGAGCTTGGACACCGCCAGCTGCAGCACAAACTCCAACAACCGGGACCAGTTCCTGTTTGTGGATCAGGGAGATGGGTACTGCAAGCTCCAGTCAAAGTACGGCACCCGTCGCCGCAGTGCCTCGGGAAAGTCGGTGACCTGTGGAACGAGCTCAATGTCTGTGGCTTACTGCAAGGCCCAAGGGAGCCAGAGCTATACCAAATTGAAGCTTGAAGATCTCGGCAACGACAAGTTCACCATGTGGTGGTATGACAGCTCAGGCAATGTGAAACAGGCCAAGAGGGGTGCTGGCGGGATCAAGCTGGCAGATTATACCAACACTGATGAGCCTGATTTCAAGCTCTACAAGAACACGGTCTACAGCAACACCTGCCTTCTGAGCAAAAATGATCTTGGCCTCAGCTGCTGGAAGTGAGCGCAGCGCTTCCTTGCAGGCAGAATCTCAGAAGCAGGTTTTGTTTGTTCATGTTCTTTTGCTGAGTTGTTCAAATGCAGCCTGAAATCGCGTTTTGAAGGTCGTTTCTTACCCTTTCAGTGATTCCATCACTCAGAAGGTTATGGATGTCAGCGACAGCCAGTCGCCTGGTATTTGCCAGACTCCGCGGCCTGTGTAGCGGGCGTGCAAAACATAATGCAGCTCAAGTATCTCCTTGGATGCCAGTTACCACCCTGATACGTAGCCAGGGGATGCCCCTTTTTGTTTTTCAAACGGTGGTTTCGTTGGGTATTACAATGGGAACTGGCAGCACTCTCGTCCCTTTGCTCCAGACTAGGATCTGCAGTTGCCACAGACGGGGAAGGGATTCAGGCAGATGAAGGTTAGGGGGACAGTCCTTGCCATAGGCACAGATATCCACCTGTGGATGTCTCTATTTTGAGTAGACCCCTTGAATGCCAGTTGTTCAACATGACCAGCCATGTGAATCTGTTTCCGCCCTGCTTTGCAAAGTCCACTCCTAGAGCCGGGTGAGTGTAAAAATTTGAGCTCACGGCAATATCCTTTCCAGGGAGTGCACAACTCCAATTGGATGCCAACTCAATATTGCCCCAAACAAGCCAACCATACTCAACCACAGAACCATGGTAAATTGCGGTAAATTAGAGGGTGTCCTTGTTCGCTTACTTGCAATATTGAGGGCATCCACCGTAGCCCTTACCTCTTTGGGTCGGATCTTCACAACCGGTGAGCCTTCCTGAAACCAGCGCAATCACCACACACCATGCTTGAAAAGATTTCCATGAAGAATCTTGCTGGCCCCCAGCCGTCCCCTTAGCTTTTTAGGCTTTTAGTGTTTAGTGGTAGTTTCCATTTAACCCACTAAAAGTTGTCCACTTTTTGCGGGGGGATTTGAGGGCAGTCCAGGAATTACGGCCATTTCTCTTCCCAAAGCCGTTTTCGACCCCACGTGTCCCCCCATCCGTCAGAGCCGCTCAGGTGGGCCCCTCTTTACAAGACCGGGACCTCAGAAATCCGCGGCCGATTCTTGGGAAAGCGAAGCGAAAGCCTGTTTTGGGGAGCGGGGTTGGTTTTACAGGGGCTCCTTAAGAGAAATTCATGTTGCAACCACTTGAAACATGTTGCTTTTTCCACGCCAAAATAAGGAGAGATACATTTTGCCCACTTGAAAAACGGTTTTTTCCACACCAAAAAAGGGGAAGCCGCCATTGACAAGTTGCAGCGTTCGATCGGTGTATTCACTGCATCCGGATGGCCTTGTGGCTTCCTTCCTGCGGACTCGGCGCGCAACTGGCATTGGCTGTTTCGGGTGCCGATGGACGGGGAAACCGAAAAAAGGGGCGCGAGAGATTGACGAACGGCCCAGGCCCCATGGTTTCGGGTTCCGCCGGGTTCTTCAAAAGACTGGGCCCAGTGGGTTCAATGTGGTTGTGGGATACAACCCTGTTGCATTTGGTTGCTCAGCACCCAATTGTGCAGGGAAGGACCCAACGTAGTGGGTTCCCCTTTTTTGTTTCAAAAAGTTACTCAGAGAAATTAAATCCCTTTTTCTTCCACGGTGGGCAACTGCGGTTCATCGGTTCCAGTTCCAGAGGATCTTTCGTTAGGATGCGCGTACTCATGGTCGGACTGATCCAGCACGGGAGTGGTGTACTATATAGGTGTGGACATATTTGGTTCACCCGGAAAGGGGGGGGAGACCCCCCTAACAAAAAGACCCAGCTAGAAAGACTGATCCAAGATATCAGTTCCAGCAGACCGTTTGCGCAGGCATTCAGCCACTTGTTCAAGAACATTGGTTGTACTGCATCCCGTGAACACCTAAGAAGCCCTCATGCTCACATTGTCCCCCTTGCACCGGAAATAGGTACAGTGGTGTAGGGAGCGATGAGATGGAGGTTGTTATTTGGGGACAGTCCCCTTGCCATTCGAAATCGGTGTGCTCCTTTTCCGCCCTTTAGTGCTTGACCCAGGGATATTGGGGGGAGTTAGGGGTCCACTTACGCTACATTCAACGTTGCAAGATTATTCTGCAAGGGTCCACTCAATTCCCTTCTGCCGGCGTCGAGAAGTTTGCATGTTTGAGTTGCATGTGCCGCTTACACGATACACATGATATTAACACGTGGCTATTTGGTTTGCACACAAGTTGACGGGCACATGTGACGTGTGAAGATGAGATCTTGCTGTGACCCTGCTAGTTTGTAGCCAGGCCAATATCCGAGGGCCTTTGGAGTCTTTGGATTTTGTTAACAGGGCCACCTTATTTAAACATGCTGAAGATATATGGTTCAACGAACCTTCTTCCATTTTGCCTGTCAAGTGGACCTGGTTGGATTGAACTAATCCTGCCCGGCCCTGATGCCGAACTCAACCAATATGGGTTTGGTTTTTAGAGATGCGACCAGGAAGCCAACCATTGTACGTTTTTTCAAGGAATTGCCCCAAAAACATTCACATACAACCCACTCAACAAACCTATTCACCTGGAAATATTCACCTCTCAATGGAGCGCTTATGTGGCCTTCAAGCGGGTGGTTGGGGTCTTTGAGGGGTTTGTTTCAGCCGTACCTCCTGGCTTCCCTCAATCGGAGTCGAGCCTGCTGAGGCCTGGAACCCCCTGATGGGCACCTGGCCCAAGGGCTCGTGCGCCTACGCGGAGGCGGGCGAGTTGGCAGAGTTGGCGGAGTTGCGGGGCCCCTTCTGCTGAAAATCGATTTGGAGGATGTCAGCTGAATGAACCCGGATTGGGGAAGGCCCTTTCTTGGGCAGTCTTTTTCTTTCTGGTGCACGAAGCAGAGCAGTTTGCCCTGGTTTGTGCACGGTTGCATTCTGACAAGTTCTCAAGGTTTCTTTGGTATCCCGGTGGTTTCCCTTCAAACGACCCGGTTCGAGGTACTTTTGAGGATGTCAGTTTAATGAACCCGGAAATCTTGCAACAGTTGCGCAGTGGATTCCACCCTTCATTGTTTTGCGAAGGGCCCGCACTAGTCAATCCACCAACCAAAGCGAGTGCCAATTCATTTTCCATGGGCCATTGAACCTAGTTGGTTCCAACCCCATCCCCCCTTTGCAGGAACAAACATCAAGCCACACAGAGGCTTCGCACAAGACAAACATACCGCTTTATCGTCGGGAGGAGGCGACGTCTCTCACATCACTTCGAATCTCAAAACCGGTGCGAACTCGGGCCTCCATCCCAACTTTGAGCCGGCCATTTTTGGGGACACTTTTGGTGGAGAAGCGTTTTTTACCTTTGGCCCCCCAAATTGATTCATGTTCAATTAGCCCATTCGAAGGCAGGAAGATCCAGGTCCAGTGATTCATTTAACACAGACTGGGCCGTGCCTCGAATCATGAAATGCTCGTCGAGTCGGAGTCGAGTCCGAGTCGAGTGTCATGGTGTTCCGTCCAAAAGGATCGTTCCACAATGTGTTTTGGACAAGATACGAGTCTTTGATCCCAACTGATTCCAATCAGTTTTGGACATGGTCGCTACCCTTGGTCACGTTAACATAGCATGTCTGGGACCGTCACGTGCCATAAAAGGAATGGTGTGGACGAAACCTGATAAATCAGGTCGAAAACGCCCGATTTCCTTCATCCCTCTGTCCAATGGAAGTGGACAGGGGGTCCCCAAGAAGAGAATAATCTTCCAACACCCTCCTACAGTTTCCATGAATCTTGGAGGGAGGGTACTTCCCGTTGGCAACTTGTCGCCGCCAAATGTCCGGCGAAAGCGCACGAAGAACATCGGAATCCGCAGGCGGGGTGCCGCTTGGGCGGACCCAGCCCCGAGTTCGCGCGGTCCCAGTGGGCGTTGCCCGGACCTCCAGCGGTTCCGCGCGTGCCTCATGTGGTTTGGTTTGACTCACTTCCTGAGTTCCGGGACTCGGACTTCAGCCGCTTTTCGAGTTTGGACCCGTTTTGTGGCAAACCAATGTGTTTTGGACCTTGTTTAGCCAAACCACTCAGTCAAGACCGACGTTTACTGCTTTTTAGTGACCCCTGCGGGCCTAGGTTGTCATACTGCAAAGTGATTCTATGTCGCAAACCAACCGTGAAAGAACCCTTGCCAAGTGGCCTATGGTGGGAACGAGGGGATTCAAACCACTTGTTCTTAACCATTCCTGTTGGCCGTAGGAGCCCGTTCATCAAGGGCCAAATCCCGGTGTTTCAACTAGGGTTTGACTTCCGGCTTCAGTTGGGTGTCCAGTCGCAAACACACGTAAACCAACCGTTTCAAGTTGGCCTTTTCAGGTAGCTCTGCGGGTATGAAGGTTGCGCACACTTTGCGGGGCAGTGTGAGGCCTTCAAAAAACCCTTGCAGTGGTATACAAGTAAACCAACATGGGCACAAATCTACCAACACCCAAAAGGAGACTCCTCTAAACTTGTTGGCTCCCAGCCATGACCTCAGCTTTTTAGCTTTTTAGTGTTTAGTGGGGTTTTCCATTTAGCCCACTTTTTGGTGTTTAGCGGGGTTCTGAGGACAGCTCAGTAAATTGAAAAGTTTGTTTTCGTGTTCCAGATGAGTCCAGACTCTCGGGGCTGAGGACAGCCAAGATTGCTCAACCCCACCAAGACCACTTTGCAACAATTTCTCCCCACGCAACGAGCGACTCCTCCAAAATGCACCATTGCTTTGCAAAAAGACTTACTCCTCCAAAATGCAACATCGTTTTAATGATTCGAGTTGTCTTTAGGGAGCCGCACCCCTTGTCTTTTTTTTCATGAGCTCACCAATTCGGGGGAAGGCCAGGAAAGCTCACGGAAGTCTTCTGTCTTACTTAGGATCAAAGCGGCGGTCAAAATTCGGAAGGACCTCCAAAAAGGCTGGGTGTCCTGGTGGATTCCTTTTGAAGCCAAAAGGGGTTCCCCCAAAAGCAACGACATGTCCATTTGGGCTTCTCGGAGAAACAAAGGGGGAAACAATCGCCTAAACCAACCAAAAGATAGCTTCCCACGGGAAAAAGGGAAAAAGGAAAAAGAAAAAAACGGGGCCGCCACGGTCGGCGGCGAATGATGCGGAGTCGACTGGAGGCTTCTCTTCCGGAACTGCCGCAACGTGACACTGAGAGGCCGCGGAGGCCAGGGAACGAAACCCAAAAGCGACCCAAAACCAAAGCGATAGGCAGGGAACGAGAAATGGAATGGAATGACCTCAAACAACTTCTCCGGAATGATCTCCCACCCCTTTTTTATGTGTATTGTTGTTGCTTTTTTGGGGTCCCCCTGGGTTTTTCTTTCCACCAACCAGGCAAAAAAAGAAACATGTTTGTTTGTTTGGGGTCCTAATTCCTGCCAAGAAACGAGTTCTGTTTTTCCGTCTTTGAATGTCACCAATACAAGGGGATTGTTTTTTCCAGCCACCGCCCCCATTGACGCCCGATTTTTGGAAGCGAGCAGTTCGGCCAAGTTAGCACCTCTCAATCATAGCTGACAGGTGCAGCGCACGGATTGACAGGGCGTCTCAGAAGATTGTGTATCCCAAGTTCAACCACGACCAGCTTCCATTTGCTTAAGAAGATGTTTGATCACTACAGGATATATATGTTTACATATCTCTATTATACATATATATGTATATGGTCCCGTGTTCCGTGTTGCTACCCCCCCCCCCCCATATGGTATGGGTCCCCCAGGACCCCCCCCCCCCCCCCCCCCCCGGCCCGAGACCCCGAGCCCCCGGATCCTGTCACCTACGGTCCCACCCCCACCCCGACCCCCTGAACTCGCACCCCGACACCCCGGCACCCCCACCCCCAGGACAAGCCAACCCGCAACCAACCATAAA